GGTCTTGACTGCAAGTTGTCCAAGTTCTTCGCCTTTTGAACAAAGAATTGGACAAAACAGACAGGAAAGCAAAGAAAGAATGAAGCAACAAAAGAAAAAAACAGGGATTTATTGAAAATGAAATTACACTCCACAGTGTGAAAGTGGGCCCGAACAATTGTTTAAGGGCCACACACAGAATCTTCATGGGTTCAAATACCCCCTAGAGGTTTCTCATTGGCCACTTGATACTATGCTCTGATTGGTTCCAGAAAGCAACCAATTAGAGGCTGAAGTTACACAGGTCACACTCTTATGCAAATATCCGATTGGTTGTGAAAGCAACCAATCAGAAGCTAAGGTGAAGTTACAAAGTTGCACTTTTATGCAAATGGTGACTCAGCCCACAATTAGTCTGACTGGTTTGGGACAGCCAATTTCCTGTATGCCTAACAGAAAAGGTGGGGATTTGCAAAGCGAATAGCCTCTGGTCTTTTTGTTACTTAGGTGTGAAAAGTTAGTTTTCCTTTCCATTTAGGTATATAAATTCGGTGTGAAATGGTCTTAGGTTTCCTTCCTCCAGACCCTATTCCTCTGCCTTATTCGTACCTATGTGCAGGTTGGTTTTCAAATGCAGACTTATTTAGACGTTGCTGCCTTCTGTTTATCCTGTAAACTTTAAAGAGTCAGCAAAGAATATGAAAAATGGTAGTCTTCATTTGACCTAGAAGTTTTTGTATTGTGACAAGAGTGCTGAGTGTAAGGGACTCCATGCTATGCCTGCTTTCTCTAAGCTAATCATGAGCCCAAGAAGAGCAAGGTCAGCATTGATAGGGAACTTGTTTACGCATTCATGGTTGGGCACAGCGGCTTATGCCTGTAATCCCAGCACTGTGGGAGGCTGAGGTGCGTGGTCACTAGAGGTCGGGAGTTTGAGACAAGCCCGGTCAACATGGTGAAACTCTGTCTCTACTAAAAATACACACACACACACACACATACAATTAGCCAGGGGTGGTTAAAGATGCCTGTATAATCCCAGCAACTCAGAAAGCTGAGGCAAGAGAATCGCCTGAACCCAGAAGGTGGAGGTTGCAGGGAGCTGAGATCATGCCACTGGACACCAGCCTGCACGACAGAGTGAGACTCCATCTGAGAACAACAAGCAAACAAACCATTCATGACCCCTTCCTAAGTTTGAAGAATTACATTACAGAAAGTGGGGCCACAGTTTCCAAGTATGTTTTAAGCTCATTAAAGCTTTAGAGTCAATACTTAGCTAAGTGATTATCAGCCCAGGTTTCTTTTTTATTTTATTTATTTATTTATTTTTGAGGTGGGATCTTGCTCTATGTCCAGGCTGGAGTGGTGTAGTGGTGCAATTTTGGCTCACTGCCACCTCTGCCTCCTCGGTTCAAGTGATTCTCGTGCCTCAGCCTCCCGAGTAGCTGGGAGTACGGTCATGTGCCACCATGCTGGGCTAATTTTTGTATATTTAATATAGATGGGGTTTCACCATGTGGGCCAGGTTGGTCTTGAACTCCTGACCTCAAGTGATCTACCTGCCTCAGCCTCCCAAAGTGTTAGGATTACAGGTGTGAGTCATGATTCCCAGCCCAGCCCAGGTTTCCAGTTAAGATTACATGATCAATTTGCAGAAATATCTACTTACATACACAGGTCTGTTTATTGTCCTAGGTGAAGGATGCATTATTTTTTTTTTTTTTTTTTTTTTTTTTTTCTGAGACAGTCTTGCTCTGTTGCCCAGGCTGGAGTGCAGTGGTGTGATCTCGGCTCACTGCAACATTCGCCTGCTAGTTTTAAGTGATTCTTGTGCCTCGACCTTCCCTAGTAGCTGAGATTACAGGCCCACATCATTATGCCCAGCTAATTTATATATTTTTAGTAGAGTTGGGGTTTTACCATGTTGGCCAGGTTTGTCTCAAACTCCTGACCTCAAGTCATCTGCCCACTTTGGCCTCCCAAAGTGCTGGGATTACAGGGTTGAGCCACTGTGTCCAGCCCAGCCAAGGTTTTTAATCTTTTTGTGATGGTATCTTGCTATGTCACCAGGCTGGAGTGCAGTGGCATGATCTCAGCTCACTGCAGCTTCTACATCCTGGGTTCAAGCAATTCTCATGCCTCAGCCTCCTAAATAGCTGGGATTACAGGCATGTACCACCACACCCAGCTAATTACTTTTTTGTATTTAAAAAAAAAATTTTTTTTTTTTTTAAGACAGGGTTTCACCATGTTTGTCAGGCTGATCTTGAACTCCCGACCTCAGATGATCCATTTGCCTTGGCCTCCCAGAGTGCTAGGATTACAGGCGTAAGCCACCGCACCTGGCCACTTTTTTTGTATGTTTTAAGTAGAGATGGGGTTTCCCCATGTTGGCCAGGATGGTCTCAAATTCCTGACCTCGTGATTTACCCGCCTTGGCCTCCCAAAGTGTTGGAATTACAATAGTGAGCCACTGCACCCAGTCCATGTTGTTTTAATTAAGTGCCTCATGTGACTCTAAGGTGAGGCCAGAATCAAGTATGTGGGGTTCAAGATACATTCATGAGAATTAAACTTTACGTCTGCACTAAAGAGTGGTCAGAGGGCTGGTTCTGTTTGGTTTAGTAGTGACAGGAAAGTGTGACCCATATTTTCATTACTGTAGAAGAAATTGCTTGTGTCCATGGCAGAAGACGGCACATGAGGACAGAAAAATACTTTCGGGCTGGGCGCAGTGGCTCATGCCTGTAATCGCAGCATTTTGAAAGGCCGAGGTGGGTGGATCACGAGGTCATGAGTTCGAGACCATCCTGGTGAACATGGTGAAACTCCGTCTCTACTAAAAATATAAAAAATTAACGGGGCATGGTGGCGCGTACCTGTAATCCCAGGTACTCAGGAGGCTGAGGCAGGAGAATTGCCTGAACCCAGGAGGCAGAGGTTGCAGCAAGCCGAGATTGCGCTATTGCACTCCAGACTGGGTAACAAGAGCGAAACTTCGTCTCAAACACACACACACACACACACACACACACACGAAACCTTTACTTTTATCTCCGTGAAGCAGCTCAGTGTTCCTGAATCTGAATCTCTTCTGGTATAAAGAACAGAAATGGGCGGACTTTTTCAGCGAGTCTTGGTCCATCTGCCTGTGGGTGTGGTGGTAGCAGGTAAACATGTGGTGCTGACACCTTTAAAGGCATATTCTCCAGATGCACCTGTGATTTGTTCAGAGAATTGCATCTGAAAAGAATTTTTAAGCAAAGAGGAAAAAACTGACTTATTTTCAGTTAAACATGTCTCAGATCAAGAGCTGTGTTTTCCTCCTTAAATGCCATACATGTGGTACTTGCAAACTTTGACTTCTAAAAATTCCAATGATAGGAATCTCAGAAAAATATTTCTTTTCTTTTTCTTTTTTTTCTTTTATTTTTTAAGATGGAGTTTTGCTGTTGTTACCCAGACTGGAGTGCAACGGCACGATCTCGGCTCACTGCAACCTCCGCCTTCTGGCTTCAAGCAATTCTCCTGAATCAGCCTCCCGAGTAGCTGGGACTACAGGCACGCATTACCATGCCCAGCTAATTTTTGTATTTTTAGTAGAGACCGGGTTTCGCCTTGTTGACCGGGATGGTCTCGATCTCTTGACCTGGTGATCCACCCGCCTCGGCCTCCCAAAGTGCTGGGATTATAGGCGAGAGCCACTGTGCCCGGCCCAAAATATTTCTTTTATTTCAGTCTTCTCTACATCAAAGCTTCTTATATGCCATGCAGAATTCTCACTATTATTTTATAATCTGCAATATTAAAAATTTTCCAGGTGGCTGTTGGACATGGGAAGGCGTAGAAACTCATGGTTTCTGTTGGGAAAAGCTGGGGTTTTTAGTAAAGATGGAGAACATGTAATGTTGAGGTTCCATCTGCGTTCATTAGCTTTATGCAAAACACTATTAACAAAATGCTTATTTAAACAAGATAGTGTTTATTATACGGTAACTTCTGAAGCACTCAAAAAGGTACATATTTGTGTTTATGCCCTTAATTTGTTTTTTCGTTTTGTTTTGTTTTTGAGACGGAGTTTTGCTGTTGTTACCCAGACTGGGCAATGGCACGATCTCAGCTCACTGCCACCTCTGCCTCCTGGGTTCAAGCAATTCTCCTGCCTCAGCCTCCTGAGTAGCTGGGACTACAGGCACGCACCACCATGCCCAGCTAATTTTTGTATTTTTTTAGTAGAGTCGGGGTTTCATCTTGTTTGACCAGGATAGTCTCGATCTCGACCTCGTGATCCACCCGCCTCAGCCTTCCAAAGTGCTGGGATTATAGGCGTGAGCCACCGCGCCCGGCTATGCCCTTAATTATATATGTTATTTATTTCTTTGTTTTGTTTTGTTTGGTCTTTGAGATGGCATCTTAGTCTTTGCTGCCCAGGCTGAAATACAATGCAGCGATCTCGGCTCACGATAACCTCTACCTTTTGTGTTGAAGCAATTCTTTTGTCTCAGCCTCCTGAGTAGCTGGTATTAGAGGCATGTGCAACCACGCCTGGCTAATTTTGTATTTTTAGTAGAGATGGGGTTCCTTTTTGTTGATCAGGCTGGTCTCCTTACCTCAGGTTATCTGCCCACCTCGGCCTCCCAAAGTGCTGGGATTACAGGCATGGGCCACCTTACTTGGTCTATTACGTATGTTATTATCTAGAAAATTATTATATATACACTGATGTTGTGCCTCTTGTGCCACTGTTTTCTAAGGTTAGAGAACACATTAGAAAATATTTCTGTGTACAAATTTATTTTATTGGATAATTTCTGTCACTCTTATAAATCAGAACCTGTTCTTATTACTGTCTTATTTTACCTTGATTCAAATTATAAATTCTGTTGGCTACCTGGTATATATGTTTGTGTGTTTGTGTTTTTCAGGGACTGTTGACATTTAGGGATGTGGCCATAGAATTTTCTCTGGGAGAATGGCAATGCCTGGACACTGCACAGCGGAATTTGTATAAAAATGTGATTTTAGAAAACTACAGGAACCTTGTCTTCCTGGGTAAGGATAATTTCAACACACAGTTTCTAATATACCCTAAAGGCTTTATTTCTCTTTTTAGAAAACTGTACTTTGGTAACGTATGGTTTGCATAAATGAGTTTAAGATCCCTGTTTTTGAGAAACTCTTAAGGAAATTAATAGAAAAAAATTTCTCTAATATGTTTCATCCTGACCTGAATTTACCACATTTCTGACCTGATCTGTGTCATTCACTCTAGATTAGTGGTAATTTGAGAAATTTAGTGACATATTGTTGCCCACACCTTAAAATCTAATTGCCAACACCAAGTTTTGACTCAGTATTACTGGATAATGAAATTAAGAACTTAAAAATGTAGAATGTTTTTCTGAATATTTAAAAATTTCTGTTACACGTTAGACTATTCTATTACATCGTCTTTACTGAGCACATTACTAGGTTGGTAATTGGAGAATATGAGCAAGTTTCATGTTAGTTATTTTTAATCAAACAGGTATTGCTATCTCTAAACCAGACCTGATCGCCTGTCTGGAGCAAGAAAAGGAGCCTTTGATTATGAAGAGAGATGAGATGGCAGATGAACCCCCAGGTAAGTAAGAGTAAAAGTGAATACAACACATGACACAGATGAGGGTCCAAAGGTCAAAGAGAAAGCCAGTTCTTAGAATAGCAATTTGGGAATCTGTGTTTTAAAGGAAATAGTTTCTGGAAAAGCTGAGTTTTTTTATTTGTTCTGACATTTGAGCATTTTCTGTCGTATGCTCTTAAATTCTCTAAGGTTTCTATTTACTTTTTTGGTGATCTTCCTTCAAGTTCTCAGTGAGAACCAATGTCCTCTTCATGGCGTATAAGAGACTCTGCAATCTGAATGCTTTTTCTGTTTTCTTGGAGACACAGAAATATCTGCATAATTTTGAGCAACTTGATTTTAAATAATTTTTTAAATTATTTTTTTGCATCATATCTGAAATGTATGAGAAGTGGAGAAGTGGTTTGTTTTCCTTTCCTTTTTTTTTTTTTGGAAGGGAGGAAGGCAGGAAAGGAGGAAGGGAGGCAGGGAGAGAGGGAGGGAATGAGGGAGGGAGAGAAGGGAAGGCAGGAAATCGAGCAATGAGAGAGACATTGCCGACCTGGATCTAGAGGTCTACAAGTTGATTTCTTTTTTTTTCTTTTTTTGAGAGAAGAAAAGAAAAAAAAGGAGTGAAGGAGAGGAAGAATGAGGAAGAAAAAGAGGGAGAGAGAAGGGAAATGTTGCTTTATTCTAAAAAAAATGGGTTTTGATAATGGCCAATCAATGTTTGATTTAAAACTATGAGTAGGTGTGATGTGGTATTGACAAGAATATATATTTTGTATATTTAAAGTGGAGAGCTCTATAAATATTTATTAAGTTTACTTGTTCTGGATCTGAGTTCGAGTCCTTGATATTCTTATTAATTTCCTGTCTCATTGCGTCTTAAGTCTCTTTATAGGTCTTATGTATCTGGGTATTAGGATCATTAGCTCTTCTTGTTGCATTGATCCTTTTACCACTATATCTTTGTTGCTTTAAGATCTATTTTATCAGATATGAGAGTTGCAACTCCTGCTTATTTATTCATTTATTTTTGCTCTTCGTTTGGTTGGTAAATCTTTCTCCATCCCTTTCTTTTGAGTCTTTGTGTATCCTTGTATGTGAAATGGGTCTCGATGTAACATGCCATTGGGTTTTGGCTGTATCTTTTGATTGGGGGATTTAGTCGATTTAAATTTAGGATTACTGCCATTTGATGTTAACTGGCTGTTTTATCCATTCATTGATGTAAATTCTTCATGTTGATGCTCTTTACTTTTTGGTATATTTTTAGAAAGGCTAATACTGGTCGTTTCTTTCTATGTGTAATGCTTCTTTCAGAAGCTCTTGTAAAGCAGGCCTGGTGGTAACAAAATCTCTGAGTACTTGCTTGTTCATAAAAGATTTTATTTTTCCTTCAGTTGTGAAGCTTAGTTTGGCTGGATATGAAATTGTGGGCTGAAAGTTCTGTTCTTTAAGGATGTTGAATATTGGCCCCCACTCTCTTCTGGCTTGTAGAGTTTCTGCTGAGAGATCTGCTGTAAGTCTGATAGGCTTCCTTTTGTAATTAACCTGACCTTTCTCTCTGGCTGCCCTTAGTATTTTCTCCTTCGTTTCAACCCTGGTGAATCTAACGATTATGTGCCTTGGGGTTGCTCTTCTTAAGGAATATCTTTGTGGTGTTCTCTGTATTACCCAGGGTTGAATATTGTCCTGCTTTGCTAGTTTAGTAAAATTTTCCTGAATAATATCCTGAAAAATATTTTCCAGCTTGGATTCATTCTCTCCGTCGCATTCAGGTACACTTATCAAACGTAAATTTGGTCTTTTTACATAGTCCCACATTTCTTGGAGACTTTGCTCATTTCTTTTTATCTTTTTTCTCTAATTTTGTCTTCTCATTTTATTTCATTAAGTTGGATTTCGACCTCTGATATCCTTTCTTCTGCTTGAACAATTCGAGTGTTTAAACCTGTGCATACTTCTCGAAGCTCCTGCATTGTATTCTTCAGTTTTATTAATTCACTCATACTCCTCTCTAAGTTGTCTATTCTCATTAGGATTTCATCAAACCTTATTTCAAAGTTCTTAGTTTCTTTACATTGGGCTGCAACATGTTCTTTTAACTCACAGAAGTTTCTTATTTTTCATGTTTGGAAGCCTGATTTTGTTAATGGGATGCGCTCATTCTCCATCAAGTCTTGTTCCCTTGTTGATGAGGAACTGTGATCTTCTTTCTGATTTTGAGTATTCTCAGCCTTTTTACGCTGGTTTATTCTTATCAGTGTAAATTATTCACCTGTCGTCTTTGTAATTACCAACTTTCAAATTAGGTCTCTGAGTGGATGTCCAAGTTAATTCCCAGGGCTGAAATATGAGCAACCCACTCTGCCAGCCAAAACAGCGGCGTTAAGACTGATGGTGCTTTTCTGCCCAGGAATCTCCAGTCTGCCTTCCTTCTTGAGTCTGTAATAGGTGACTCTGCCTTCCCAGAGCTTCAAACTCTGTCAGAAGAAGAACCAGTCCCGTTTACTCTGCACCGAGAGCTGGCGCGCAGAGGTGCCAACGAAACCTCTGCGCGGCCACAAGCGTCGCGCTGGCGACCTGTGTGGCTCCTCCAAACCTCAGTCAGAAGGGGAACCAGTCCCATTTACTCTGCAATGAGAGCTGCCATGCAGAGGTGCCTGCGAAACCACTGCGCCGGCCACAAGAGTCGCGCTGGGGACCCGTGTGGCTCCTCCAAACCTCGGTCAGAAGGGGAACCAGTCCCGTTTACTCTGCACCGAGAGCTGCCACGCCGAGGTGCCGGCGAAACCGCTGCGCCAGCCACAAGCACGCTGGCGACCCGTGGAGCTCCTCCACTGGGAATCTTCTGCTTCATGAGCAACCAAAATTTGTCTGAAAGTGTGGCGTCCTCTTGTTGTCTGAGCTTTCACTGGGAGCTGCAATCCCGAGATGTTAGAGATCGGCCATCTTGGATGGTTCCCTTTTTTTTTTTGAGACAGAGCATCACTCTGTTGCCCAGGCTAGATTGCAGTGGCACAATCTCGTTTTACTGCGACTCTCCCTGCTGGGTTTATGCATTTCTGCTGCCTCAGCCTTCCAAATAGCTGGGATTACAGGTGTGTGCCACTAGACCAGGCTAATTTTGTATTTTTAGTAGAGATGGGGTTTCACCATGTTGGCCAGGCCAGTCTTGAACTCCTGCCCTCAAGTAATTTGTCTGCCTCAGCTTCCCAAAGTGCTGGGATTACAGGTGTGAGCCACTGTTCCCAGCCTTTTTTTATTTTCTGCACATTTTATCTTGTTTGTATTTCTATAATCTTCACATGTAGTCTTGAAATTTTAAAGTATGCTATTTTTGGACCAGGCATGGTGGCTCACGCCTATAATCTCAGCATTTTCGGAGGCCGAGGTGGTGAATCACAAGGTCAAGAAATCAAGATCATCCTGATCAACAAGGTAAAACCCTGTCTCTACTAAAATACAAAAAAAATTAGCTGGGCATGGTGGTGCACTCCTGTAGTTCCAGCTACTCGGGAGGCTGAGGTAGGAAAAATGCTTGAACCCAGGAGGCTAAAGTTGTGAGCCGAGATCATGCCATTGCACTCCAGTGCAACAACAGCAAAACTCTGTCTCAAAAAAATAAAAAAATAAAAAATAAAATAAAGTATGCTATATATCTGCTTTTTTTCTCATGCTTCCTTTGACTATTTAAAGTGTATTTCATAGTTTTATGTATATTTGAGAATTATGTTTTTTATTACTGTTTAAAACAAATGCCACTGGAATTTTGATAGGGAGTTTATTGAGTCTATAGGTTATTTAGAATAACATGACACTTTAATAGTATTTATTCTTTTAATTTATAGACATAACGTATCTTCAAATTTATTTACGTCTTCTTTTTTTTTTTTTTTTGAGACGAAGTTTCGCTAGTCACCCAGCCTGGAGTGTAATGGCACGATCTTGGCTCACTGCAACCTCTGTCTTCTGGGTTCAAGCAATTCTCTTGCGTCAGCCTCCTGAGTAGCAGACACTGCAGTCGTGCACCACCATGCCCAGCTAATTTTTGTATTTTTAGTAGAGACAGGGTTTCACCTCGTTGACCAGGATGGTCTCGATCTCTAGACCTCGTGATTCACCCGCCTCTGCCTCCCAAAGTTCTGGGATTATAGGCGTCAGCCAACAGGCCTGGCCTATTTATTTCTTTTCTAATTACTTTCATTTATATATTTCTTATTGTAAAAATTTTGTACCTTTTTGGTTAAATTTGTTCTCAGAAATTTATTATTTTAATGATGTTCTAAATAAGATTTTTTTCCTCTACTTTATCAGATAGTTTAAGTTTATGGAACCTTAACTTGTATGTTAATTTTATATTTTTCTAATTTACTGAGTATATTTCGTAGTTTAAACATGTTTTCATTGTACTGTTTGTATTTAGATATGTGATTATGAGCTACAGCCAGCAACTTTTAACTTACTTGTTTTTAATTTCAATTGCTCTTTTCCATTTTTTGACTAATCTGCTACATACTTTCAGTGTTACGTTAAACTAGCAGCATTGGCAATGGGCACAATATAGTTTTGCATTGGCATCTGTGTATAGAAGGAGAAAACACCTCAAGTTTATCGTTGTTTTTGTTGATTTTTTTTGTTGTTGTTCTTTTTTATTTGAGAAGAAGTTTTGCTCGTTACGCAGGCTGCAGTGCAATGGCGTGATCTCGGCTCACCGCAACCTGTGCCTCCTGAGTTCAGGCAATTCTCCTGCCTCAGCCTCTGGAACAGCTGGGATTACAGGCACGCGCCACCATGGCCAGCTAATTTTTGTATTTTTAGTAGAGACAGGGTTTCGTCATGTTGACCAGGATGGTCTCGATCTCTTGACCTCGTGATCCACCCGCCTCGGCCTCCTGAAGTGCTGGGATTAGAGACTTGAGCCACCGTTCTTGGCCAATTGTTTTTTTGTTTTTGTTTTTGTTTTTTTGAGGTGATATCTCACTCTGTCAACCAGGCTGGAGTGCAGTGGCATGATCTCAGCTCACTACAACCTCCATTTCCTGGGTTCAAGTGATTCTCCTGCCTAAGTCTTCTGTATAGGTGAGATTACAGGTGTATGCGACCACACCTGTCTTATTTTTTATATTTTTAGTAGAGAGGGGGTTTCACTATGTTAGCCACGATGGTCTCGATCTCCTGACCTCGTGATCCACCTGCCTTGGTTTCCCAAAGTGCTAGTATTGTAGGTGTGAGCCACTGCACCGAGCTCAAGTTTTTATAAACTGGTTTCAGAAGGTTTTTTTTTTTTTTTAATGATAATTTGTATTTTATTAAGGTCAAAATATTTCAGTTTGTGACAGATACTATTAAAAAATGAAGACTGTGTGTGGTGGCTCATGCCTGTAATTTCAGCACTTTGGCAGGCTGAATGGGGTAGATCATGAGGTCAGGAGATGGAGACCATCCTGGCCAACATGGTAAAACCCTGTCTCTACTTTCAAAAGCCAAAATTAGGTGGCATGTGCCCGTAATGCCAGCTACTTGAGAGGCCAAGGCAGGAGAATCACCTGAACCCAGGAGGCAGAGGTTGCAGTGAGCCAAAATCATGCCAGTGTACTGCATCCTGGGCAACAGAGGGAGACTCCATATAAGAGTGAGAACATGCAGTGTTTGGTTTTCTGTTCTTGTGTTAGTTTGCTGAGAATGATGGTTTCCAGCTTCATTCATGTCCCTGCAAAAGACATGAACTTATTATTTTTTTTTTTTGGCTGCATAGTATTCCATGGCGTACATGTGCCATTATTTTCTTTACATAAACAAAAATTCTTAGAGATCCCAGGGAAGTTCGAAGAGGATAACTGGTTCTGGGACCACTTCTTTTGTTTGACCCTAAGGGTGATGGGATGCCCTGCGGGTTTTTAGTAGAGAGGGTTGTTGCTTTGTCATAAGGCTGCTTGGTCTAGGGTCTACCTTTAATTGGCTTGTTATAAGAAACTTGGATAGTTTAAATTCCCATTATATTTTTCAGACAGACTGAATTTTGTGGGGGTACTTTGTTCTGTAGGGCAGACACTAGACCAGGTTTCTGCAGTTTGGTCTGCATATCATGGGCCTTATATCAAAATGTGGATGATTATAGCTTTCAGCGAGTACCAGAAAGAATCTTTCCAGGTCACTGGGTGGGTTTCTGTGTCAGCAGAACTGCCCAGAAACTGTGGCTCAGGGAGCTGGAACTGAGTCATTGAACTGCTTCAGAGACCACAGTAAAGGCAAGGGTCTGCAGGCCTGCCCACGTGGCTATAAATAGGTATCTTCCCACCAGCCTCTGAAAAAGCAGGATCTTTCCCAGACTTTGGCTGGGAGGAGTTTGGGATGGTTACATACTCAGTTCAGATTTCTAAGTGGGACCAAGTTGGGTGGGCCATGTCCTAGTCTGTAGTTAGGAACGGGATCCTGTAGTTTGCACCTAGGGCCTGAATGAGGTCGCGCCTTCTGAAAAGACTTTTCAATCTTGGGCTGTATGAGAGTTCCACAAGTCTCTCTCTGGATCTCAAAGCTATCAAAGGCACTTATTTTGAGATGGAGTCTTGCTACAGAATTCAGGCTGGTTTTGAAATCCTAACCTGAAGCAGTTCTCTAAACTCAATGTACCGTGTATCTTTCATTGCAGGTGTGAGCCATGATACCTGGCTGTCTCATAAAGGCATTTTTGTCAGGGATGGCTGACAAATTGTCTTGCTGTGCAGGAGATAACAAATTAGGGCATCTTTTATTCTCCCATCTTACTGACTTCATTCTCCCTATATATTTTTATTCTCCATTTTCTATTTCAAATTTGTCTGGAATTTTAGATTCAGAAATTTAGAACAGTATGCTAGAATTTACATGTAATACCCGGAGTAAATTAGATACTTAGTAGGTGCTCCATATTTACTAAAACAGTTACTTACAAATTTGAGCTCGCTGTAGGAAAAAATAACTCTGATTAGCACCCACTTTTTCCAGTCTAATAATATATACCTAAATCATATAATTTATTCCCAAATATTTGTTTTGTATATCAGACACTTTAACCATATTCTACAATATATATATTTATACATTTAACACATATATCTATAGCATTATATATATATTTAGCAATGTAAGGCTAATTTTTGCTTCTAATGTTGAATTACAGCAGTTTCATTTTGTGTAAGAAAAGCATGTATTTAAAACAAAATTATCTCTGGTTTTTGTTTTTGTTTTTATTGAGATGGAGTCTTGTTCTGGTGGCCAGCCTGTAGTGCAGTGGTGCAATCTTGGCTCACTGAAACTTCTGCCTCCCAGGTTCAAGTAATTTTCCTGCCTCAGCCTCCTGACTAGCTGGGACTATGGGCCCTCACCACCATGCCCGGCTAATTTTTTTATTTTTAGTAGAGACCAGGTTATACCATGTTGACTAGGCTGATCTTGAACTCCTGACCTTAGGTGATCCACCTGCCTCGACCTCCCCAAAGTTCTGGGATTACAGGTGTGAGCCACCACACTCAGCCCAAAATTATTTTGTTTTGTTTTTGAGATGAAGTTTTGCTCCTGTTGCCTAGGCTGAAGTGCAATGGTGTGATCTCAGCTTACTGCCACCTCTGCCTTCTCGGATAAGTGATTCTTCTGCCTCAGCCTTCCAAGTAGCTGGAATTACAGGTGCTCACCACCACATCTGGCTAATTTGTGTATTTTTAGTAGAGATGGGGCTTCACCACATTGGCCAGGCTGGTCTTGAAGTCTTGACCTCAGGTGATCCATCCGCCTGAGTCTCCCAAAGTGCTGGGATTAGAGGTGTAACCCACCACGCCCAGCCTTTTAGTTTTTTTAGATAATTATTTATTAAAAGATTTTCAGAGGCAGGGTGCGGTGGCTCGAGCCTGTAATCCCAGCACTTTGGGAGGCCGAGGCAGGTGGATCATGAGATCAAGATATGAGACCATCCTGGTCAACATGGTGAAACCCCGTCTCTACTCAAAATACAAAAAATTAGCTGGGCCTGGTGGCCCGTGCCTCTAATCCTAGCTACTCAAAAGCTTGAGGCAAAAGAATTGCCTGAACCAAGGAGGTGGAGGTCGTGGTGAGCCGAGATCACACCATTGCACTCCAGCCTGGGTAAGAAGAGCAAAACTTTGTCTCAAAAAAAAAAAAAAGTTTCTTCGAGTCTTTCAATTATTATAATACTGCATTATTTTCTGGAATTATACTGACATAGTGTATGCTAAGGATTCAGAATACCTGCCTTCCATGAGTACAGTTACAGTCAAATATTACAGTTTTCTGGACACATTATTTTTAATGCTACATCAATGTTGCCTGCAAGATTATATGAGTAAACATTTCTCTCTTATCAAAGAGTTTTGTCATTTCTTATTGGTGTGCTTTTTCAGTTTAAAATCTGTTCATTGATGCAGGAGAGGATGTGGAGAAATAATACTTTTACACTGTTGGTGGGAGTGAAAATTAGTTCAACCATTGTGGAACACAGTGTGGTGCTTCCTCAAGGACCTAGAAATAGAAATTCCATTTGACCCAGCAATCCCATTGCTGGGTATATACCCTAAAAATTATAAATCATTCTGTTATAAAAGACACATACACACATATGTTTATAGCGGCCCTGTTTATAATAGCAAAGACCTGGAACCAACCCAAATGCTTATCAATGATAGACTGGACAAAGACGTGGCACAGATATACCATGGAACACTATGCAGCCATAAAAAATGATGAGTTTGTGTCCTTTGTTAGGGAAATAAATGAATCTGTAAACCATCATTCTCAGCAAACTGACACAAGAACAGAAAATCAAACACCACATGTTCTCACTCATAGGCAGGTGTTGAACAGTGAGAACACACGGACACAGGTAGGAGAGCATCACACACTGGGGTCTGTTGGCGGAGGCTAGGAGAGGGACAGCAGGAAGTGAAGAGGATCAGGAGAAATAACATGGGGACAAATGGCAGATATAGTATGGGTGATGGGGAGATGGAAGTAGAAAACCACATTGGCGGATGGCCGATCGCTAACATCCCGGGATTGCAGCTCTCAGGGAAGGCGCGGAGAACTAGAGGACACCACACTTTCAGACAAAGTCTGGTCGCTCACGGAGCAGAAGATCCCCCAGTGGTGGAAACACACGAGTCGCCAGCGCGACTCTCGTGGTCGGCACAACGGTTCCGCCAGCACCTCGACGTGGCAGCACTCAGCGCAGAGTAAACGAGACCGGTTCCCCTTCTGACTGAGGTTTGGAGCCCCGGGAAGGCAGAGTCGCCTACTACAGAAACAAGAAGGAAGCCCGACAGGAGAATCCTGGGCAGAAAAGCACCATCAGTTTTAACGCTGCTGCTCTGGCCCTGGGAACTAACAACCTGGACGTCCACTCAAGAGACCTAATCTGAAAGTTGGTAATTTCAAAGACGACAGGAGGATAAACTTACAATGATGGGAAGAAACCAGCATTAAAAAGCTGAGAATACTCAAAGTCAGAACGCCTCTCCCTCTAAAGATGATCACAGTTCCACATCAACAATGGAACAAGGCTTGATGGAGAACGAGCGCCTCCTGATGACAGAATCACTCTTCAAGGAATGGATAATAACAAACTTCGGTGAGTTAAAAGAACATGTTGTAGCCCAACGTAAAGAAACTAGGAACTTTGAAAAAAGGTTTGATGAAATCCTATTGAGAATAGACAACTTAGAGAGGAGTATGAGTGAATTAATGGAACTGAAGAATACAATACAGGAACTCCGAGAAGTATGCACAGGTTTAAACACTCGAATTGTTCAAGCAGAAGAAGGGATATCAGAGGTCAAAGTCCAACTTAATGAAATAAAACGTGAAGAAAAGATTAGAGAAAAAAGGATAAAAAGGAATGAGCAAAGTCTCCAAGAAATGTGGGACTATGTGAAAAGACCAAATTTACGTTTGATAGGTGTACCTGAATGCGACGGAGAGAATGAATCCAAGCTGGAAAATACCCTTCAGGATATTATTCAGGAAAATTTTCCTAAACTAGCAAAGCAGGTCAACATTCAACCCCAGGTAATACAGAGAACACCACAAAGATATTCCTCAAGAAGAGCAACCCCAAGGCACATAATCATTAGATTCACCAGGATTGAAACGAAGGAGAGGATACTAAGGGCAGCCAGAGAGAAAGGTCAGATTACCCACAAAGGCAAGCCTATCAGACTTACAGCATATCTCTCGGCAGAAACTCTACAGGCCAGAAGAGAGTGGGGGCCAATATTCAACATCCTCAAAGAACAGAACCTTCAGCCCAGAATTTCATATCCAGCCAAACTAAGCTTCACAACTGAAGGAAAAATAAAATCTTTTATGAACAAGCAAGAACTCAGAGATTTTATTACCACCAGGCCTGCTTTACAAGAGCTTCTGAAAGAAGCATTACACACAGAAAGAAACAACCAGTATTAGCCTTTCTAAAAGTACACCAAAAAGTAAAGAGCACCAACATAAAGAAGAATTTACACCAACAAATGGATAAAACAGCCAGTCAACATCAAATGGCAGTAACCCTAAATTTAAATTGACTAAATTCCCAATCAAAAGACACAGCCAAAACCCAACGGCATGTTACATCCAGACCTGTTTCACATGCAAGGATACACAAAGACTCAAAACAAAGGGATGGAGAAAGATTTACCAACCAAATGGAGCGCAAAAATAAATAAAAAGCAGGAGTTGCAATTCTCGTATCGGATAAAATAGATTTTAAAGCAACAAAGATATAGTGGTAAAAGGATCAATGCAACAACAAGAGCTAACGATCCTAACACCCAGATAATTATCTGGTGTTTAAATGAGACAGAAATTTAATAAGGATATCAAGGACTCAAACTCAGATCCAGAACAAGTAAACTTAATAAATATTTATAGAGCTCTCCACTTCAAATACACGAAATATACATCCTTGTCAATACCACATCACACCTCCCCATAAGTTTGAATGAAACATTGATTGGCCATTATTAATACCCAATTTTTTTTTCAAAATAAAGCAATATTTCCATTTACTCTCCCTCTTTCTTCCTATCCTTTACTTATAATTTTTTTTTTCTTTCCTTCTCTCAAAAAAAAGAAATCAACTTGTAAACCTCTAGATCCAGGTCTGCAATGTCTCTTTCATTGCTTGATTTCCTTTCTTCCCTTCCCTCCCTTTCTCCCTCCCTCCCCACTTCCTCCCTTCCTTCCTTTCTTCTTTCATCCCTTCCTTCCTCCCTACCATCCTTATTCCCTTCCTTCCTGCCTTCCTTCCCCCCCCAAAAAAAAAAAGAAAACCACATTGGCATGTATGTACCTAGGCAGCAATCCTGCATCATCTGCACATGTACCTTAGCACCTAAAGTACAATAAAAAAGATCTGTATATTTCGGTTTTTGTTTTACCATTTTAGATAATTTGCAAAATTCTCTTGTATACTTTAAGTCAATGTGGGGTTTAATTAAGAGATAAGGAAGCCGTATGTTTCTCCCAGTCATATTATATATATGTATTTGTCTATAAATATGACCCCAATTTTGATTATGCCTTATCTTGCATGTATTTTTAGCTGATTTTCAATGGTGGTTTTATCTCGTTTAAGTGATTCGTCATGGAGATAGTCTCACTTGAATTTTGTGTTCAATTATAAATGTATATTTCTTTCATGTGAGAGATACAATTCTGTGATTTGAAGGTAAAGATTTATGATTCTGTATTTTTAAAATTTATCTTTAAAACAAAATGTTGTAAACCCACATACAGTACATTTTACCATCTAAAATCTATTTCAGTTTATATTTCATGGCCAGGCATGGTAGTGACTCACATCTTTGATCCCAGGATTTTGGGAGGCTAAGACAGGAGAATCACTTGAACCCAAAAGTATGACACTAACCTGGGAAGTGTACAAAGATTCTCTTTCTGGAAAAAAAAAAAACATAAAAAACTTAAAAATAGCCAGGCATGGTGGTGTGCACTTGTGGTCCCAGCTTCTTGGGAGATTGGTGGTGCATGATTTCTTTAACCTGAGAGTTCGAGGCTACAGTGAGCCATAATTGTGCCACTTTACTCAAACTTGGGTGACAGAATGAGAACCTGTCTCAAAGAATCGACACTTCAGGGAAGTTTAGCATATTTATATCGTTATGCAAACGACTTTTATAAACTTTTCATCTTGTGAAACTACAACTCGATACCCATTAAGTAATAACTGCCCATTTTATTGTCTCTCCAGCCCTTTTGTTTCAATGAATGTGACTAATTAAGATACCTCATATAAGTGGAATCATATAGTATCCATCATTTTATTACTGGCTTCATGTGGCATAATATTCTCCAAGTTGATCTTAAAATGTAACAAGATTTATTTAAAGGTAGATAATATTCCAGTGTGTGTCTATGTGTGTATAGCTTTTCTTTTTTTGGTGGCCTAGGCTGGAGTGCAGTGGCACAATCTCACTCACTGCAGCCTTCACCTTCTGGGTTCAAATAATTCTCCTACCTCATTCCCTTGTGTAGCTGGGATTACAAGCACGTGCCACCACACAGCTAATTTTTGTATATTTATTAGAGAAAAGGTTTCACCATGTTAGCTGGGCTTGTCTCAAACTCCTGACCTCAGGTGATCTGCCCAACTCAGCCTCCCAAAGTGATAGGATTATACACATGAGTCATCGCTAATGGGATTTTTGTAGAGATTATGTTGAATCAGTTCACCTCGTTTGGCTGCATTGACATCTTTGAAAAATTAAGTGCTGCTGGGCGCGGTGGCTCATGCCTGTAATCCCAGCACTTCGGGAGGCTGAGGCGGGTGGATCACAAAGTCAAGAGATTGAGACCATCCTGGTCAACATGGTGAAACCCTGTCTTCAATAAAAATACAAAAAATCAGCTGGCATAGTGGCACATGCTTGTAATCCCAGGTACTCGGGAGGCTGGGGCAGAAGAATTGCTTGAACCCAGGAGGCGGAGGTTGCCATGAGCCGAGATTGTGCCATTGCACTGTAGCCTGGGTAAGAAGAGTAAAACTCCATCTCTAAATAAAATAATTGTAAGAAATAAGGTTGGCAATTTACTTCTAAAATCGTTATGTTATGTTGGGAAGTAGAAAAAGCTGTATTGGATAAATGTGACAGAATTTCTTTTCTTCTGTGTGGCTCTTTGCGTTGTACCCTTCTGGGGCAATGCACTCACTTAATTACGTCCTGTGGTGTCATCTTGCTTGTGTCGTTTGTGTAATTTTATAAATTATATTTGGAAAGTCTGTTTATCTGAGTCTGTAAAGTAATGTGTTATTTTTATTTCTTTCAGTAATGTGTTCTCATTTTGCCCAAGAGTTTTGGCCAGAGCAGAACATAAAAGAGTCTTCTCAAAACATGACACTGAGAAGATATGAAAAATGTGGAAATGAAAATTTTCAATTTAACGGCTGTAAATGTGTGGTTGAGTGTAAGGTCCACAAAGGCGGTTTTAATGAACTTAACCAATGTTTACCAACTACCCAGAGCAAGATGTTTCCGTGTGATAAATATGTGCGAGTCTTTCATAAATATTCACATTCAGATAGAGATAAGATCAAACATATGGAAAATAAACATTTCAAATATAAAGAATGTGGCAAATCATTTTGCATGCTTTTACGCCTAACTCAATGTAAAAGAGTTTATACTAGAGTGAATTTTGGCAAATATGAAGAATGTGAAAAAGCTTTTAACCAGTCTTCAAAGCATACTACACATAAGAGAATTTATACTTGTGAGAAACTCTACAAATGTCAAGAATGTGACAAAGCTTTTAACCAGCTCTCAAATCTCACTGCATATAAAAAAAATTATACTTGAGAGAAATCATACAAATGTGAAGAATGTGGCAAAGCCTTTAAGCGATCCTCAACTCTTACTACACATAAGAGAATTCATACAGGAGAGAAACCCTACAAATGTGAAGAATGTGGAAAAGCTTTTAAACACTCCTCAACGCTTACTACACATAAAAGAATTCATACTGGTGAGAAACCCTACAAGTGTGAAGAATGTGGAAAAGCTTTTAACCGATTTTCAAAACTTACTCAACATAAAAACATTCATACTGGAGAGCAACACTACAAATGTGAGGAATGTGGCAAAGCTTTTTCCCGATCCTCAAATCTTACTGCACATAAGAGAATTCATACAGGTGAGAAACCCTACAAATGTAAAGAATGTGGAAAAGCTTTTAACCGATCCTCAAACCTTACTGAACATAAAAACATTCATACTGGAGAGCAACCCTACAAATGTGAAGAATGTGGCAAAGCCTTTAATCATTTCTCAAATCTTACTACACATAGGAGAATTCATACCAGAGAGCAACTCTACATTTGTGAAGGATGTGGCAAAGCTTTTACCCAATCCTCAAGTCTTACTACACATAAGAGAATTCATACCGGAGAGAAACCCTACAAATGTGAGGAATGTGGCAAAACTTTTAAACGATCCTCAAATCTTAGTGAACATAAGAAAATTCATACTGAAGAGAAACCCTACAAATGTGAAGAATGTGGCAAAGCTTTTAGACTCTCCTCAGCGCTTACTAAACATAAAAGAATTCATACTGGTGAGAAACCCTACAAATGTGAAGAATGTGGAAAAGCTTTTAACCGATTTTCAAAACTTACTCAACATAAAAACATTCATACTGGAGAGCAACGCTACAAATGTGAGGAATGTGGCAAAGCTTTTTCCCGATCCTCAACTCTTACTGCACATAAAAGAATTCATACTGGTGAGAAACTGTACAAATGTCAAGAATGTGGAAAAGCTTTTAACCGATCCTCAAAACTTACTCAACATAAAAACATTCATATTGGAGAGCAACCCTACAAATGTGAGGAATGTGGCAAAGCTTTTACCTGATCCTCAGCTCTTACTGCACATAAGAGAATTCATACCAGGGAGAAACCCTACAAATGTAAAGAATATGGCAAAGCTTTTAAACTCTTCTCAGCCCTTAGTATACATAAAAGAATTCACACTGGTGAGAAACCCTACAAATGTGAAGAATGTGGAAAAGCTTTTAAGAAATCCTTAATACTTACCGAACATAAAAACATTCATACTGAAGAGAAACCCTACGAATGTAAAGAATGTGGCAAAGCTTTCAAAAAATCCTCAGCCCTTACTACACATAAAAGAATTCATACTGGTGAGAAACTCTACAAATGTGAAGAATATGGAAAAGCTTTTAAACACTCCCACTCCCTTACTACACATAAGAGGATTCATACCAGAGAGAAACCCTACAAATGTGAAGAATATGGCAAAGCTTTTAAACACTCCTCAGCGCTTACTACACAAAAAGAATTCATACTGGCGAGAAACCCTACAAATGTAAAGAATGTGGAAAAGCTTTTTACCAATCCTCAAAACTTTCTGAACATAAGAAACTTCATACTGGAAAGAAACCCTGCAAATGTGAGGAATGTGGCAAAGCTTTTAACTGATCCTCAAGTCTTACTGTACATAAGAAAATTCATACTGAAGAGAAACCCTACAAATGTGAAGAATATGGCAAAGCTTTTAAACACTCCTCAGCGCTTACTACACAAAAAGAATTCATACTGGTGAGAAACCCTACAAATGTGAAGAATGTGGAAAACTTTTTACCAATCCTCAAAACTTTCTGAACATAAGAAACTTCATACTGGAAAGAAACCCTGCAAATGTGAGGAATGTGGCAAAGCTTTTAACTGATCCTCAAAACTTACTGAACATAAAATAATTCAACTGGAGAGAAACCCTATAAATGTGAGGATGTGACAAAGCTTTTAACCAATCTGCGAACCTTGCTAGACATAAAAAAATTTATATTGGAGAGAAAAATCTACAAAACTGAAAGATGTGACAATGATTTTGACAACAGCTTAAACTTTTCTAAATATAAAGAAAGTCATACTGGTGAGAAATACTAGAAATGTAAAGAATGTGTCAAAGACTTTAAATAGTTTTCACACTTGATTGTATATAAGATAATTCATACTGGAGAAAACTAAGTGTGAAGTATTTGGCAATACTGTTAATGCCCAAATCTTATTGCACAGGAAAGCATTTATACTTGAGAGAAATTGTACAAATACAACGGAGATGGAATAGCCATTAATCTCTGCTCACATCTTAATATCAGAATGTTTGCACTTAATAAAACCATAATAAATGGAATTACTGTCAAAAAGGAAAATATAAGCCTTTAAAGCTAAGTGTATTCATTTTGAAGACAAATATTACAAACATAAAGAACGTTTTAGTACATTTACGTGTATCACAGATCTTGTCACCCACATTTTGTACTAGGGAAAAACCCTGAAGCAGTTGCTCAAACTTTATTCAACATCAGGCATTCTGTATTGGAGAAAAATTCTGCAAATGTAATAAATTTGGAAAAACCTACTTTTCAAAACCTATAGCTTAGAAAACACAAGAGAGTTTATACTAAAATATGTTTTTGCAGGCCAGAAATGGTGGCTCACACCTGAAATCCCAGTACTTTGGGAGGCCGAGGCAGGTGGATCACCTCAGGTCAAGAGTTCGAGACTAGCCTGGTCGACATGGCAAAGCATCATCCTTACAAAAAATATAAAAATTACCCGGGCGTGGTGGCTGGTGCCTGTAATGTATTTTCAGCTACTCAGGAGGCTGAGACAGGAGAATCACTTGAACCTGGGAGCAGTGAGCCAAGATTGTGCCATTGCACTCCCACCTGGCTGACAAGACTGAAACTCTGTCTTAATATATATATATATACACACACATATTTGGAGATGCAGTAAATATAAAACTATTTTAATACTAAGTTTTATGTAAATATCAGATAACTTCCAGTAAAAATATCTAAGGCACTGACTGAGACATTACAGTAAATCAGAGTGCTGAGTATAAAAAAAAAAATCCGGAGCTAAAGTTGGTAGATAAATCATTTGTGTATAACTATAAAAGATGCAAAAAGTTTTTGAAAAGTTATAATTACATTCAAAGTACACTTTTAGCATGGTGGCTCACACCTGTAATCCCAGCACTTTGGGAGGCTGAGGCAGGTGGATCACCTGAGGTGAGGAGTTCAAGACCAGCCTGATCAAAATGGAGAAACCCCATCTCTACTAAAGATACAAAATTAGCTGGGCGTGGTGGCCCACACCTGTAATCCAGCTACTTGGGAGGCTGAGGCAGGAGAATCGCTTCAGTCCAGGAGGTGGAGATTGTGGTAAGCTGAGATCATGGCATTGCACTGCAGACTGGGCAACAAGAACAAAACTTCATCTAAAATAAATTTATACATATATACCTTAAAAAAAAACCAGATTTGTAACATGAATAATTTCATAATTTCAACTGTCAAGTTACTTCATGCTCTTCATTCCTATTGTATGAGACTTTTTAAAATTAGGAGGGCATTCGTTATGATCTTTTATATGGAAGGGTAAGGGCATTAAAATGTAAGACAAATGATAAATATCTAAGTTGAGAGGCTCTTGTTAACATAGGTGGTGCCTGAGGTAGGTGTTCAGAATAATATTCTGCATTATAGAGAAAGAAGCATTTTATTTTTGTTTTTTTGAGATGGAGTCTCTCTCTGTCATCCAGACTGGAGTGCAGTGGTGCAATCTTGGCTCACTGCAACCTCCATCCACCTTCCAGGGTTCAAAGGATCCTCCAGCCTCAGCCTCTTGAGTAGTTGGGATTACCAGTGTGCGCCGCTATGCCCAGCTAAGTTTTGTATTTTTAGTAAAGCCGGGGTTTCACCACGTTGGTCAGGCTGTTCTCAAACTCCTGACCTCATGATCCACCAGCCTCGGCCTCTCAAAGTGCTGGGATTACAGACGTGAGCCACCGTGCCTGGCCAAAAAAAGCATTTTAAATTTTAGTTGAAATAAGTAGTATATTATTTTACTAGTTGTACTGTTATGTAATAAAATGTATATACTTAAAATTTTAAGGCTGGGTGTGGTGGCTCACGTCAATAATCCCAGCACTTTGGGAGCCGAGGCGGGTGTATCACAAGGTCAAGAGATCGAGACCATCCTGGTAAACAAGCTGAAACCCCGTCTCTACTAAAAATACAAAAATTAGCTGGGCATGGTGGTGCACGCCTGTAGTCCCAGCTACTCGGGAGGCTGAGGCAGGAGAATTGCCTGAACCCAGAAGGTGGAGGTTTCAGTGAGCCGAGATCGTGCCATTGCACTTCAGCCTGGGTCAAAAAAGCAAAACTCTGTCTCAAAAAAAAATTTTTTTAATTATGTGTGAACTTAATTATTTGAAATTTTATTTAATAATGTTTAGAGAATTGTTCATTTAATAAAGTGTTACTATTCCACTACCTATTTTACCTTACTCAAGGGTATAGGCAAAAGATGGTAATATATTTGGTAACATCATGAACAAATATTTCTAGTAATAACTTTTGCCAGTGACTTGAAAGTCCAAGGAGGTTAAAGAATATTATTTCCATAGGTTCAATATTTATTTTTTCATACTTAAATTTATAATTTCTGATTTTTGTGGATACATTGTAGGTGTATATATTTATGCCATATGTAGCATATTTTGATACAGGTGTACAATATGTAATAATTACATCAGGGAAAATTAAGTATTCATCATCTTCAGCATTAATTCTTTGTATTACAAACCAATTCTACTGTTTAAATTTTTTTAAATGAATAGTTGTTGTTGACTACACGTCTATTTTTATGATTATAGTAAAAATTATATAGAAGTATAAAGTTCACTCGTTCTGAGTTCTGAATAAACATTTTAAAATTGTTATATAGTTTTGAACATGTGGCCTCTCTGCCTGCAAACACATAAACGTTCTTAGTTTTGATTTACATAAAGATAAATATACATATGCATTACTTTGAAGTTAAACCTTAGGTATAAGAAAATTTTGGGTCGGGCGTGGTGGCTCACACCTGTAATCCCAGCACTTTGGAAGGCTGAGGCGGGTGGATGACGAGGTCAAGGAATGGAGACCATCTTGGTCAACATGGTGAAACCCCGTCTTTACTAAAAATACAAAAATTGGCTGGGCATGGTGGTGCGCGCCTGTAGTCCCAGCTACTCGGGAGGCTGAGGCAGGAGAATTGCTTGAATTTAGGAGGCAGAGGTTGCGGTGAGCCGAGATTGTGCCATTGCACTCCAGTCTGGGTAACAAGAGCGAAACTCTGTTTCAAAGAAAGAAAATGGTGGAGTCAGTAAGCATGTTTGTATGAGTATAAATTTGTACCTATTTTCAGAAGAAAAAAGCAGTGTTGGAACAAAAATTATTTTAGTAAGGTGAGGAATTTACTAGGAAGGTATAAACCTAAAAAATGCTGAAAGCAAAGCTATACGCTTTCCTTTTTTTTTTTTTTTTTTTGGGAAATGGAGTTTTGCTCTTGTTGCCCAGGCTGGAATGCATTGCCATGATCTTCGCTCACTACAACCTCCGCCTCCCAGGTTCAAGCGATTCGACTGCCTCAGCCTCCGCAGTAGCCTGGATTAGACACGCACCACCATGCCCGGCTAATTTTGTATCTTAAGTAAAGACGGGGTTTGCAATGTTGGTTTCGAACTCCTGACCTGAAGTGATCCACATGACTTGGCCTTCCAAAGTGCTGGAATTACAGGCATGAGCCATCGAGCCTGGCCTATACTTTTTTCTTTCTTGCTTTTTTTTTTTTTTTTTGAGTTTTGCTGTTGTTACCCAGACTGGAGTGCAACGGCAGGATCTCCGCTGACCGGAACCTCCGCCTCCTGGGTTCAAGCAATTCTTCTGCCTCAGCCTCCCGTGTAGCTGGGACTACAGGCGGCCAGCACCATACCCAGCTAATTTTTGTATTTCTAGTAAAGATGGGGTTTCACCTTGTCTACCAGGATGATCTGGATCTCTTGACCTCGTGATCCACCCGCCTCGGCCTCCTAAAGTGCTGGGATTATAGGCATGAGCCATCACGCCCGGCCTACTCCTTTTTTTCTACTGGATTAATTACTGTAAAATATTATGGTTTATGGTTCAAAATCTCTTGATGCAAATTTTATTTTTACTTACATGATACTCATGCTAAACCTACATTTTTTGTTTCTTATAATCTTTTTCTTTTATAGTTTATGAGGTTTTCATTATGTGAAGTGGTCAAAGATTATATAATTATAAAATTTAGTGCATACAATAATTTTTAGATGTAATTCCATAGTGTAGTTATATTTTATCAAATTAGAACATTCCATTTTGTTCTTTTAATTGAAAAACCCTATATGTAAGCCTACTTTTCTTTAGTTGTTCCTTTAACTTTATATAATTGACAAAAGTAAATTTATTTGTTGATTGAGCCAGTTCAGGTAACTGCTAAGAAGTCCTCATAAGTCATGAGGATGTTTTAATATATAAATGTAGCAAAACAAAGACAGTGCTTGCTGAGTAACAGATGGTTTATAATCCGTAAATATTCCTGTTAGAGTCAGTTTGTAATTTTAAGTCAGAGACATAAAATATCAACGATTAAGAAAAAATACTGATTGATTATGTGGAGAGGACCTTTTTTTAGGCAGCAAACCTGAATATTGCTTAATATAAAGAAAAATTCTGGTTATTTTATTTTTTAATGATGTTGTTTTGCTTGTCTTTTGTGTTTTTCTACTATGTATAATGTCACAACCTTTCTTTTCTTTCTGTTTTATGGCTACAGTTTTCTCACTGTTGTTTTTATGCCATGTCATTTTACATGCTGCTTTGTTGGTTTTGATGAGAAAGATGGTATTTATAATGCACTTAAAACATTGGTTTTAACTGGAGAATTTGCTTGTCAATATAACTTTTTTTTTTTTTTGAGACTGAGTCTCACTCTGTTGTCAGGCTGGAGTGCAGTGGCATTATCTTGGCTCACTGCTACCTGCACCTTTCAAATTCAAGCGATTCTCCTGCTTTAGCCTTCTGAGTAGCTGGGACTACAGGCTTGACCCAGCTAATTTAGTACTATGTTTAGTAAGACTGAAGAGAGTGGCATACTTGTGTTACTGTAGCTCATGTATATATATATGTGTGTGTGTGTGTATATATATATATATATATATATTTTTTTTTTTTAATATAAGATTGAGTCTCACCAAGTTGGTCAGGCTGGTCTTGAACTCCCGACCTCAGGTGATCTGCCTGCCTTGGCCTCCAAAATGCTTGGATTACATGCATGAGCTACCATGCCCACCTGTTGTAGCTCTTAGAGTAAAAGCTCACATTTCCCTGTTTGGGATGTTGTCAGCTGTGCGATTTTTGTTATATGTGGTGTTTATTGGCTTACGGTGCATTTTCCCTATAACTAATTTATTCACATCTTTATCACGAGGGAATGTGACTTTTGTTAAACTTTTATTCTGCGTGTATTTAAATGTTAAACATGTGAAAGTACAGGTAATTCCACATAAATACAAAACATCCTCAGAGACTGCTATAAACAATTCTATGCATGCAAAGTAAGAAATTTAGAGAAAATAAATGAACTCATAAATACACACAATCTCCCAAAATTGAACCATTAAGAAACAAAAATCTAGAGCACAGCAAAAATGTATAATGAAATTGAATTACTAATAAAAAACCATGAATAGCCCTGAATCAGATAAATTCACTTGCAAATTTTACCGCATATAAACAAAATGAACTGGTACAGTTATACTGAATATATATAAAAAATCAAAGTGGGATTTATATGAAACCAGTATCATCCTAATACGAAAATCTAATTAAGACACACACACGGGCCTGGCGCGGTGCTTCACGCCTATAATCCCAGCACTTTGGGAGGCCGAGGAGGGTGGATCACGAGGTCAAGAGATCGAGACCATCCTGGTCAACATGGTGAAACCCCGTCTGTATTAAAAATACAAAATATTAGCCCGGAATGGTGGCGCGTGCCTGTAATTCTAGCTACTCCGGAGGCTGAGGCAGGAGAATTGCCTGAACCCAGGAGGCGGAGGTTGCGGTGAGCCGAGATCGCGCCATTGCACTCCAGCCTGGGTAACAAGAGCGAAACTATGTCTAAATAATAATAATAATAATAATTTTTCTTCTCTACCAGAGCCTTGACTATATTCTCTACAGTATTGCTTTGTATATTTCTTATAGATTTCTTACCATGAATTTATAATCTGCAATATTAAAAATGTTCCTTTTGTGGCTGCTGAACATGGGTAGGTGTGTATACTCAAGATTACTATTAAAAAAAAGCTGGGGTTCTCAGTAAAAATGGAGAATATGTAAGGTTCCATCTGTGTTTCTCATTAGCTCTGGTCATAAAATGATTAAGAAAATGCCTATTTAAACAATATGGCATTTATTAACCAGAAATTTCAGAGAAACATTATTAGGAGATACCTGCCCTCCAGGGTGCTGAAGAAAGACTACCTAAAATCACTATTAAAAACTACAAAGTGGCCAGGTGAGGTGGCTCATGCCAATAATCCAAGCACTTTGGGAGGCCAAGGCGGGTGGATCACGAAGTCAAGAGATCGAGACCATCATGGTCAACATGGTGAAACCCCGTCTCTACAAAAAAAAATACCAAAAAATTAGCTGAGCGTGGTGGCGTGCGCCTATAGTCCCAGCTACTTGAAAGACTGAGGCAGGAGAATTGCTTGAACCTGGAGGCCGATGTTCCGATGAGCCGAAATCGCGGCATTGCACTCCAGCCTGGGTAACAACGGCGAAACTCCGTCTCAGAAAAAAAAAACAAAACAAAAAATACTACAAAGCATAGGAGATACCTGCATCGTGAACTTTGCATAAAACTGATGTTTTATGGTTAAATTTAGACTATAATTTCCTTTTTCAGGATGCAGTGTTTCAGCAGTGATGCTGTGTTTTTCTGTGTGCATCAGCAGAGTATAAAAATTTGTCCTAGTGTAGTTGATGTTAGCGATTCACTTGGTTAAATATCTCTCTGACAAACTTTTGCTATAATTATTTTTCTCTTCATTATTAAGTATATATTAATGCAGCTGTGCATAAATTATTACATTTAACCTGGCAGCTGCCCTTCTTTCTTAGGTTTTCTTTGTATATATCTGTCTTTGGTAAATGAAGGCTCTCATCTTTGTTTAAAGGCCAGAAAAACTAGGAAAAACACAGGCTCTTCAACGTACTAGATGTTTAACAAAATATTGTTCTCTGGCCAAATATATTGACATTACTGGTGAGTTTGTTAGAAATTCAATCAGACTATATTTTACATCTTCTCAAAAAACAATTTGCATTAATAAGATCTCCAGTTTATTGTACACATTAAAATTTGAGAGGTGCCTTCAAACATGATCTGTCATTTTCATTTTACAAAAACTTTACACGTTGATGTTTATGTACTTGATTTTATACTTTATTATCCAGAAAGATATTATATATTTTCTAGTGTTATAGATTTTATGCCGCTCTCTCTTCTTCTAAGGGTTAAAAAATACATTCGAGAATGTTTCTGTGTTAAAAATTATTTTATTGGATAATTTCAGTCATTCCTGTAAGTCGGAACCAGTTCTCTTTGCTTTCTTATTTTACCTTGAGTCAAATTATAAATTTTGCCCATGGCCACTTTGTAAACGTATGTGTGTACACTTCAGGAGGCATTGAAATTTAGGGACTTGGTCATAGAATTCTCTCTGGAGGAGTGGCAATGCCTGGACTCTGCACAGCGGAATTTATATAGGAATGTGATGTTAGAGAACTACAGAAACCTGGTCTTCCTGGGTGAGAATAACTTTAATACGCAATTTCTATTATCCCCTAAAGGTTTCAGTTTTCTCTTTTTTTCTTTTTGTAGGATGTTTTTTGGTAATTTATGGTTTGCATAAATGAGATTCACATCCCTGACTTTATAAAAGTTTTAGGAATTTGTCTCTGTAGAAAATAATTTTTTCAACATGCTTTATCTTGACACCTGAACTTTCTGCATTCCTGAGCTAATCTTTATCCTTCACTCTAGATTAGAGTGGTAATTCCAGAAGTCTAGTGGCATAAAATAATGTTGCCCACCCTTTTTTAAAATTTTTTTAAAGATAGGGTTTCACCATGTTGGCCTGGCTGGTCTTGAACTCCCAACCTCAGGTGATCCACCAGCCTCGGTTTCCCAAAGTGCTGAGATTACAGGCATGAGCCACCACACCCGGCCTGTTGCCCAGACTTTAACGTGCAATTGCCAAGTTTTGATTTGTTGTACTGGGCAGTGAAATTTAAAACTAAAGAATTTAGAACTAAAATTTAAGATGCTTTTAAAATATTTAGAAATTTATTATATAGATCAGTATTTTGAGATTAATTGACAGAATGTTATATTTTATCTTCTTTACTAAGCACATTGCCAGGTTGGTGATTACAGAATATGAGCAAGACTTAGGTTATTTATTTTCAATAAAACAGGTATTGCTGTCTCTAAGCCAGACCTGATCACTTGGCTGGAGCAAGAAAAAGAGGCTTGGACTATAGAGAGACATGAGATGGTGGCCAAACCCCCAGGTAGGTAAGAATGAAAGTGAATACAACAGATGACAGAGATGAGCAGTTCAAAGGTCAAAGAAAAAGCTAGTCCTTATGATGTGATTTGGGAAGCTGTGTTCCCAAGGAAATCGTTTCTGGAAAGCCTGAGTTTTTCTTTTTTATTTTTTTCTTTTGAGAGACGGACTCTTGCTATCACTCAGGCTGGAGTACAATGGCACGATCTCAGCTCACTGCAACCTCCCCTTCCTGGGTTCAAGTGATTCTCCTGCCTCAGCTTCCCAAGTAGCTAGGACTACAGGTGTGCACCACCACACCTGGCTAATTTTTGTATTTTTTTAGTAGAGATGGGGTTTCACTATGTGTTGGTCAGGCTGGTCTCGAACTCCTGACCTAAAGTAATCCACTCACCTCAGCTTCCTAAAGTGCTGGGATTATAAGTGTAAGCCACCCAGCTGATTTTCTTATTTTGCTCTCACATAGGGGAATCTTCTGTCTTACGCTTTTTTTTTTTTTGAGATGGAGTCTTTTGCTCTGTTGCCCAGGCTGGAGTGCAGTTGTGCTATCTCAGCTCACCTGAATCTCTGCCTCCTGGGTTCAAGTCATTCTCCTGCTTCAGCCTCCTGAGTAGCTGGGACTGCAAGTGCTCACCACCATGCCCGGCTAATTTTTGCATTTTTAGTATAGACAGAGTTTCACTATGTTGGCCAGGCTGGTCTCAAACTCCTGACCTAGTAATCTGCTCACCTTGGCCTTGCAAAGTGCTGGGATTACAAGTGTGAATCACCGCGCCTGGCCCTGTGTTATGCTTTTATCTCAGGACTGCTTTCCCTTCAGTGATCTGCCTTCAATTTTAGAATGAGAGCCAAAGTCTTCCTAATCACATATAAGAGACTGCACAGGCCAGGTGCAGTGGCTCATGCCTGTAATTTCAGCACTTTGAAAGGCCAAGTCAGAGGGATCACGGGGTCAAGAGATCGAAACCATCCTGGCCTACATGGTGAAACCCGGTCTTTACTAAAAATACAGAAATTAGCTGGGCATGGTGGTACATGCCTATAATCCCAGGTACTGGAGAGGCTGAGGCAGGAGAATTGCTTGAACCAGGGGTTGGAGGTTGCAGTGAGCTGAGATTATGCCACTGCACTCCAGCCTGGTGACAGAGCAAGGCTCAGTCTCAAAAAAAAAAAAAGATACTGCACAATCTGACTGCTTTTTCATTGTTTTGGGGGACAGAGAAATATCTGTATAATTTTGAGAAACTCTGTTAAACTATTAAGTTCTCTTTTTGCATGTCTGAAATGTGTGAGAGTAGTGGGGTTTTGTTTATTTTTCTGCACCTTCCATCCTGTTTGTATCACTATAGTCTGCAAATATAGTTGGAAGTTATAAAGTATTATGTCCTTCTGCTTTGTTTTTTTCTCGATTGCTTTGACTAGTCAAAGTTTATTGTAGTTTCATGTAAATTTTAGAATCCTATTATTCATTACTGTAAAAAAAATGCCCTGGAATTTTGATAGGGCGTTTATTGAATCTGTAACTCACCTTCAATAACATGGCTCTTCTTCTTCTTCTTCTTCTTTTTTTTTTTTTTTGGAGAAAGTGATTTATTTAGAGAGAGAGAGAGAAACAGCTAACTCTCACACTGAGCGAGAGAATCCAGAAAGATGGAATCCAGGAGAGAAAAGCAGCTTCCACACTCACGGGAAGGGAATAGAGAGAGAGAGTTTAGGAAGGAAAGACAGGTTTCCACGAGAGAGTGTGGAAGGGGACTCCAGAGGGGAAATCCAGGAGAGAGAAAGATGGCTTCCACGAAGGGAGGGTTCATGGAAGGGAATCCAGACATGGAGTCCTATAACATGACTCTTTAACAATACTTCTTATTTCCATCTATAGACATGAAATATTTTTAAATTTATCTGTATCTTCTCTAATGTCTTTTATTAATCTCTTACATCTTTCATTGTAAATATTATCTGTCTCTTGGATTAAATTTCTTCTCAGAAATTTATTATTTTAGTGCTATCGTAAATAAGATTTTCGTTGTTATCGTTTGTTTTTTGAGAGGCAGTCTCACTCTGTCACCCAGGCTGGAGTGCAGTGGCACTATCTCAGCTGACTGCAACCGCCACCTCCCGGGTTCAAGCAATTCTCCTGCCTCCACCACTCGAGTAGCTGGGACTACAGAAGCGTGCCACCACACCTGGCTAAGTTTTATATTTTTAATAGAGATGGGGTTTCAACATGTTGGCCAGGCTATCTCAAACTCTTGACCTTGTAATCTGCGAACCTTGGCCTCCCAAAGCGCTGGGATTACAGGTATGAGCCACCACACCTAGCCAAGTTTTTTTTGTTTGTTTGGTTTGGTTTTTTGAGACAGAGTTTCACTCTGTCACTCAGGCAGGAGTGCAGTGCTGTGATCTCCACTCACTGCAATCTCTGCCTCCTGGTTCAAACAATTCTCCCGCCCCAGCCTCCCGAGTACCTAGGATTACAGGCACCCACAACCACACCTGGCTAATATTTGTAGTTTTAGTACAGATGTGGTTTCACCATTTAGGCCAGGCTGGTCTCGAACTCCTGACTTCAGATGATCCACCTGCCTCAGCCTCCCAAAGTTCTGGGATTACAGACGTGAGCCATCACTTCTGGGTGTAAGCAATATTTTCAAAAATATTTTATCAGATAGCTTATTTTAAGTGTATAGCCATACCTTGTGTGTTAATTTAATATTTAGCCAATTTACTGAGTGTATTTATTAGTTTAGACAGGTTTTAATGTACTGTTTACATTCTTTTATATATATAATCATATGATCTACAGCCAGCAAGTTTTTACTTGTCTTCAATTTAAATGGCTGTTTTCATTTTTTTGACTAATTCTTCTGCCAATTACTTACAGTTCTTTGTTAAAATAGAAGCATTGACAACAGGCAAAATATAGTTTTGTATTAGTGTCTTTAAATTTGAAGAAGCAAACAGCTCTTCAAGTGTTTATAACCTGTTTTTAGAAGGTAAACATGTTTTGTTGGGCCCCCAGGGTGATGGGATGCCCTGTGCATTGGTAGTGGAGAGGGCGTGTAGCTTGGTCACAAGGCAGCTGGGTCTGCACTAGGGTCCACCTTTAGTTGGCTTGTTACAAGGGGATTGGCTAGTTGGACAGACTGAATTTTATTTTTATTTTTTGGACAGACTGAATTTTCCTCAGGACTTTGACGTGTAGGGCAGACACTAGGGCAGGTTTCTGCAATTGGGTCTGAATATGATGGGTCTTACTTAAGAATATGGATGAGTATGGCATTCACTGTGTATGAGAGAGGATTTTTCCACATCACTGTGTGGGTTGTTTTTTGTTTTTTTTGGATTGATTTTTGCTCTTGTTGCCGAGGATGCAGTGCAATGGTGTGATCTCAGCTCACTGCAACCTCTGCCTCCCAGTTCAAGTGATTCTCCTGCCTCAGCCTCCCGAGTAGCTGGGATTACAAGCATGCCCACCATGTCCAGGTAATTTTTTTTTTTTTTTTTGTATTTTTAATAGAGATGGGGTCTCTCCATGTTGGTCAGGCTGGTCTCGAACTCCTGACCTCAGGTGATCCTCCTGCCTCAGCCTCCCAAAGTGCTGTAATTACATGTGTGAGCCACTGTGCCCAGCCCCCTGTGTGGGTTTTAACATAGGCAGGACTGGCCATGAACTGTGGCTCAGGGAGCTGAAACTGAGTCATTGAGTTGCTTCAGGGACCACAGCTCTGCAGGCCTGGCATAGCTATAAGTGGGTATCTTTCTTAAGGCCTCTGAAAGGGCATGACCTCTTCAGACTGTGGCTGGGAAATGTTTGAGATGATTACAGAGTAAGTTCAGAATTATCAGTAGGACCAAGTGGGAGAGGCCATTTCCTGGTCTGTACTAAAAAACAGGAGTTTTGTACTAAAAAACAGGAGTTCTGTAGTTTACCACCTGCCTTCTGAAAAGAAGCACTTCTCAGCATTGGGCATTAGCAGTTTCACAACTCCCTCCCTGGATCTCAAAGTTCTTTTAAGACAGTTGTTTTGGAGATAGGGTCTTGCTACATAACCTAGGCTGATTTTGAAATCCTGGCCTGAAGCAATTTTCCAACTTCAATGTACCATGTAGCTGTCATTACAGGTGTGAGTTACGATGCCTGGTTCTCTCATAAAGGCATTTTTGTCAGGGATGACTTAAAAATTTTCTTCCTCCTTCTGGCAGAAACAAAAGAGAAAAAATAAACCATTTTCTTCCTGGGAAGGGGATAAAAAAATAGGGAACTTTTTTCCATCTTATTGATTATACACTATTATTCTGAAGTATTTGTTTTATTTATCAGAGGATCTCACTATATTTTATAAAATATATGGATATTTTCTCTATTTACCAATGTAACACTATTCTTTGCTTCTAAAGTTAGATTACAGCAGTTTCATGTAACCATAGCATATATTTAAAACATCAACATTGTCTCTAGTTTCTTTCAAATGCTTATGTATTAAAAGTTTATCATTAGAATCTTCTGTTTATGATTATGCTGCATTTTCTTTCATATGTTACTGCAATGGATTACACGCCAATTATTTAAAATACCTGCCTTCTGTGAGTACACAGTTAAGTATTATAGTTACTTAGAGAAATTTTTTTTTCTCTTCTTTTTTCTTCACTTTTGAGATAGGGTTTTGCTCCTGTTGCCCAGGCGGAAGTGCAATGGTGCCATCTGGGCTCACCGCAATTTCTGCCTTTTTGGTTCAAGTGATTGTCTTGTCTCAGCCTCTTGAGTAGCTGGGATTAGAGGCATCCACCACCACTCCCAGCTAATTTTGTATTTTTTACTACAGACAGGGTTTCTCCATGTTGGCCAGGCTAGAGAAATTCTTAATGGTACATCGGTATTACAAACCAGATTTTTTTTTTTCAGAAGAAGCTTTGCTCTTGTTTTCTAGGCTGGAGTGCAATGGTGTAATCTCGGACCACCACAACCTCGGCCTCTCAGGTTCAAGTGATTCTCCTGCCTCAGCCTCCTGAGTAGTTGAAATTACAGGCATGCACCACCATGCCCAGCTAATTTTGCATTTTTTTCCCAGTAGAAATGGGGTTTCTCCACATTGTCAGGCTGCTTTTGAACTTCTGACCTCTGGCGTTTTGCCTGCCTCGGCCTTTCAAAGTGCTAGAATTACAGGTGTGAGCCCCCGCGCCTTGCCTCCTTTTTTTTTTTGAGATGGAGTCTCACTTTGTTTCCCAGGCTGAAGTGCAGTGGAGTGATTGATCTTGGCTCACTGCAACCTCTGCCTTCCACATTCAAGGGATCCTACCAGCTCAGCCTCCCAAATATCTGGGACTGCAGGCACATGCCACCACAGCTGGCTAATTTTTGTATTTTTAGTAAAGACAGGGTTTCCTCATGTTAGCCAGGCTGGTCTGGTACTTCTGACCTCAGATGATCCATTTGCCTCACCCTCTTTAAGTGCTGGGATTACAGGAGTGAGCCACCATGCCTGGCTGCAAACCATATCTTGAGTAAACATTTCTCACATTATTGTTTTCCAGTCCATACTAGTATGTTTTTTTTAGTGTAGGTTTCTTAATATTAGTTTCTAGTGCGTTTTAGTTTAGAGTATGTATGATAATTTTAGACAATTAGCAAATCTGTACCCTTTAAGTCACTGTGAGATTTAATTGAGAGATACATCAGATATCTCATGATGCAGAAAGTGAAAAAAAGAAAAGACACATCAAGCTGGGCATGGTGGCTCACGCCTGTAATTCCAGCACTTTGGGAGGCTGAGACAGGTGGATCACCTGAAGTTGGAAGTTCGAGACCAGCCTGACCAACATAGTGAAACCCTGTCTTTACTAAAAACACAAAATTAGTGGTCATGGTGGCAGACGACTGTAATCCCAGCAACTGGGGAGGCTGAGGCAGGAGAATTGCTTGAACCCAGGAGTAGGAGGTTGCAGTGAGCTAATGTCATACCATTGCACTCCAGCCTGAGTAACAAGAGAAAAACTCAATCTCAAAAAAAAAGGGGGGGATACATCAGCCATATGTCTATCACAATTAGATTATTTATATATAAACAGTGAAACTCCATCTTAAAAAAATTATATATATATATGTTTGTGTATTTATCAATAAAAATAACCACAATTTTGGTTATGACTTACCTTGTATATATTCTTTCATAGTTGATTTTCTTTTTCTTTCTTTCTTTTTTTTTTTTTTTCTTTGTGATAGACTGTCGCTCCATCACCCAGGCTATAGTGCAGTGGTGCAGTCTCGGCCCACTGCAGCCTCTGCCTCCCTTCAAGCAATTATCCAGCCTCAGCCATGTAAGTAGCTGGGATTACAGGTGCATGTCTGGCTAATTTTTGTATTTTTTTAAGAGACAAGGTTTCACCATGTTAGTCAGGCTGGTCTCGACTAGCCTGACTCTTATATTTTTAATTATGGGGTTTCACCCTGATGGCCAGGCTGGTCTTTAAATCCTGACCTTAGGTGATCCGCCTGCCTCAGCCTCCCTAAGTGCTTAGGTTACAGGTATTAACTACCTAACTGAGCCCCTTCTTTTTTTTTTCTGTTTATTTTCCCTGGTTTTTTTTGTCTAAGTGAGTAGTTATGGAAATAGTTGTATTTTTACTGTGTGTTTAATGATGAATACATATTTTCTTTGTGTGAGAGAAACAGTCTTGTGATTTTAAAGTAATTTATGAAAAGATTTATGGTCCTGTATTTTTTTCAGATTTTTTTTTGAAAAAAATTAATTGTAAAAACATAACATAAAATTTACCATCTTAAATTGATTGAAGTTTGCCGGGCACGGTGGCTCACACTTGTAATTCTAGCACTTTGGGAGGCCAAGGTGAGTGGATCACCTTAGGTCAGGAGTTCAAGACCAGCCTGGCCATCAGGGAGAAACCCCATCTTTAAAAATAAAGAAATAAATTAAATAAAAAATTAAATTGATTGAAGTGTACATTTCAGGGCCAGCCATGATTGTGGCTTACATATGTAATCCCAGAATTTGGGGATGTCAAGGCAGGAGAATTTCTTGATCCCAAAAGTTTGAGAGCGGCCTGGGCAACATATGAGAATTCCCTCTCTACGATTATTTTTTTTTAAGCCAGGTGTGGTTTTGTGCACCTGTGGTTCCAGCGCTTTGAAAGATTGAGAAAGGCGGATGACTTCAGTCTGGGGGTTTGGGGCTACACTTAGCCATAATTGTGCCACTGCACTCCACCTTGTGTGAAAGAGTGAGACTGTGTCTCAAAAATCTGTACATTTCATATATGTTAAATATATTCACATTGTTATGCAAAAGTGTTCTAAAAATTTTACATCTTGAGAAACTAAAACTCAATATCCATTAAGTAACAGCTGACCGTTTTACCCTCTCTCCAGCCCTTGACAAATACTGTTTTTTTTTTTTTTTGAGAGAAGAGTTTTGCTTTTGTTACCCAGGCTGGAGTGCAATGGCGCGATCTTGGCTCACCACAACCTCCGCCTCCTGGGTTCAGGCAATTATCCTGCCTCAGCCTCCTGAGTAGCTGAATTACAGGCACACACCACCATGCCCAGCTAATTTTTGTGCTTTTAGTAGAGATGGGGTTTCACAATGTTGACCAGGATGGTTTCACAATGTTGACCAGGTGATCCACTCACCTCGGCCTTTCAAAGATGCTAAGATTACAGGCTTGAGCCACCGTGCACAGTAATAAATATTATTCTAATTTCCATTTTTATAAGAGCGATGACTTAAGATATCTCCTATAAGTGGGATTATATAATATCTATCATTTTGTTACTGGCTTATTTCAGGTGACATAATATTCTCAAAGTTTATCTTAAACTGTGACAAAAATTTTGAAGACCAAATAATACTGCATTATATTTATATGTTACATTTTTTGATATGTTTATAAGTCAAGGAAGGGTTACTTCCATCTTCTGGCTTTTGTGAATACTGGTTCAGTATACATCAATGTTCAAATATGACTTCTAGTCCAATGTTGTATAGTTTGCATATAGATTCATAAATTGAATTGTTGTATTTAATAATAACATTTTTTATTATTTGAATAACATAACATTTTAAAACAGTGGTAGTATTACTGTTTTACACAAACAAATAACATGGGTTTTTTCATTTCATCAACAGATTTAGTGTTTTAAAAAATATTAACAGTGGCCATTGTAATTCGTTTTAGTTGATCTTTTCATTGTAATTTTTATGTGTTTCTCTACAAATGTAATTTTATGTGTACTTTCAAATGCTTTTTCCTGTTTTTGTATTTTTTTTTTTTTTTTTTTTTTTGAGACGGAGTTTCACTGCTGTTACCAGGCTGGAGTGCAATGGCGTGATCTCGGCTCACTGCAACCTTCACCTCCTTGGTTCAAGCAGTTCTCCTGCCTCAGCCTCCCAAGTAGCTGGGACTACAGGCGTGTGCCACCATGCCCAGCAATTTTTCTTTTTGTATTTTTAGTAGAGATGAAATTTCACCATGTTGACCAGAATGGTCTCGATATCTTGACCTCGTAATCCACTCGCCTTGGCCTTTCAAAGTGCTGGGATTACAGGCGTGAGCCACTGCACCTGGCTAAATACTTTTTGTATATTATCCAAAGAAAGGATCTAGCTTTATCAGTGTTGATGTCCAGTTTTCAACATGATTTTTTGAAAAGATTGTCTTCTCTCTATTGTGTGCTTCTGGCAACTTTGTAAAAGATTGTTTAATCATATACAGAAAAGTTCATTTCTGGGCTGTGTATTCTGTTTTTTTTTATCTATTTATCTGTCTTTGTGTCAGTACCACCTTGTTTTTGTTTTGGCCTTAGCTGTTAACGTGTTTTGAAATCCAGAGTATAGTACCTCTTTGTTCTTTTTCATGAGTGGTTGGCGATAGTTTATAATCAAATTAAAAAATTTTAAAACCAGGCATGATGGCTCACACCTGTAATCCCAGCACTTTGGGATTCTGAGGCAGGTGACTCACAAGGTCAGGAGTTTTTGACCAGGCTTGCCAACATGGTGAAACCCTATCTCTACTAAAAATACAAAAATTAGCTGGGCGCGGTGGTGCATGCCTGTAGTACCAGCTGCTCAGGAGGGCTGAGGCAAAAGAATTGCTTGAACCAAGGAGGTAGTGAGCCTAGATGGTGCCACTGTGCCCCAGTCTGTGCACAAAGTGAGACTCCATCTCAAAGAAACAGACAAACAAAAAACTTTTAAACAAATTCTTGTAAAACATTGCACTTTGTCATTTTTGTAGAAATTATACTGAATTTATTTATTATTGAAAGTTATATGGACATCTTTGAAATATTAAATTTTGGCGGTTACGGTGGCTCATGCCTGTAAACCCAGCAGTTTGGGAGGCCGAGGCGGGTGAATCACGAAGTCAAGAGATGGAGACCATCCTGGTCAACATGGTGAAACCCCGTCTTTACTAAAAATACAAAAAATTAGCTGGGCATGGTGGCGCGTGCCTGCAATTTCAGCTACTCAGGAAGCTGAGGCAGGAGAGTTGCCTGAACCCAGGAGGTGGAGGTTGCGGTGATCCGAGATCGCGTTATTGCACTCCAGCCTGTAACAATAGCGAAACTCCGTCTAAAAGGAAAAAAAGAAAAACTAAATTTTTTGACCCTTGAGTAAAAATATGTTGAAGAGTGTGTGTTATTTTTATATATATTTGGATGTGCTAGTTTTACTTGTGCTCTAGATATCTGGTTTCATTCAGTTTTCCTCTGAAAACATTAAGTGTATAATTTTTATTTTCTTACCTTTATTATTATTATTATTTGTTGTTGTTGCTGTTTTCAGACAGGATCTTATTCTGTCACCCACGCTGGAGTGCAGTGACTGCAGCCTCAACCTTCAGGGATCAAGTGCTCCTTTCACCTCAGCCTCCTGAGTAGCTTGGACTATAGAGATGCACTAACCATGCCTGGCTAATTTTTTGATTATTTGTAAGGACAGCGTGTTACTATGTTGCCTAGGCTGGTCTCAAACTTCTGGCTCCAAGAGATCCTCCCACCTTGGCCTCCCAAAGTGAACTACCAGCACCCAGCTGATATTCTTAAATTTAATGAGAGTTATTATGTGTCCTAACACAATACACCAGGTGCATGTAAGGACATTGGGTATATTCTTGCTTTTTACTGGAAAGTTTTTTAGATGTCTGTTAAGGCTAGTTTGTCTGTGCTATAATGTGGATGTTCATGTTTCCCAAACATTATGCTGCAAAATGCAGTCCTCAGTGTTGGATGCAGAACCTGATGGGAGGTATTTGGGTCATAGAGGCAAATTTCTCATGAGTGGCTTGGCATCATCTTCTTAGTAATCAATAACTTTACACTCTGTTAATTTTAGTGAGAGCTGGTTCATTGAAAGTACCTGGCTTCTTTATTTCACATTTTGCCTGTCCCTTACCGTGTAATATGTTCAGTTACTCTTTGCATTTCATTATGATTGTAAGCTTTGTGAGACTCTCACCAGAAGCAGATGCTGGCACACACCTGTACAATCTGCCAGACTATGAGCCAAATAAACATTTTTTCTTTTCTTTTCATTTTGTTTTTTTGAGACTGTCATGCAGGCTGAACTGCAGTGGCACAGTCTTGGCTCACTGTAACCTCCACCTTCCAGCTTCAAGTGATTCTCCTGCCTCAACCTCCCAAGTAGCTGTGATTACAGGCACACACCACCACACCTGGCTAATTTTGTATTTTTAGTAGAAACAGGTTTTCATCATGTTGGGCAGGCTGGTGTGAAACTCTTGACCTCAGGTGATCCACCTGTCTCAGCCTCCCAAAGGTGCTGTAATTACAGACATAAGCCACCACACCCAGCCAAACTTTTGTCTTTGTAAATTATCCACTTTTGGCTAGGCATGGTGGCTCACACCTGTAATACCAGCACTTTGGGAGGCTTAGGTGGGTGGATCACGTGAGGTTGGGAGTTTGAGACATGCCTGATCAATATGAAGAAACTCCATCTCTATAAGAAAAAAAAAAAGAAGGCTGGGAACAGTGGCTCAAGCCTGTAATCCCACACTTTGGGAGGCTAAGGTGGGTGGATCATGAGGTCAAGAGATCAAGACCATCCTGGTCCACATGGTGAAACCCCGTCTCTACTAAAAATACAAAAAATTAGCTAGACATGGTGGCATGTGCCTGTAATCTCAGCTACTCAGGAGGCTGAGGCAGGAGAATTGCCTGAACCCAGGATGCAGAGGTTGTGGTGAGCCGAGATCATGCCATTGCACTCCAGCCTTGGTAACAAGAGCGAAACTTTTTCTCAAAAAAAAAAAAAAAAGAAAAGAAAAAAAAAGAAATAAATTATTCACTTTCAGGTATGTCTCTTTATGCAAAATAATTGAAGTTGGCCATTTACTCTTAAAGGTATTATGGGCGAGCAGAAAGAGCTATGTTTTATTTTCTTTCTGTGTTTTTGGAGTCACCCCACGTTGAGTGCCACTGTTGGGATCACCACCTGTGGGGGTCTATCCTGCAGACCCTGACTCAGCAATGGATGAATACGGTACCCTGACACACAGATGTTATGCTGTCCCAGTTTGGCTAGTGTCTGTGACCACTTACAGACGCCCTGGAGAGTGCTCTAAAGAGATAGCTGCTGCCAGCCCCACCAGCCAGTGAGACTCAATTTTATTTAGTAAAGTTTAATTGACAAAGGTTGAGTCAACACCACCAGAGGTTAAAGGTCTAAAGGCAGGTTCTGATGCCCAAAGTAAACAACATTAATAAGTAACATTCCTAGTTGACCTCCCCTCAATAGGGCCATCTAGCCGGGTGCAGTGTCTCATGCCTGTAATCCTAGCAATTTGGGAGGCCAAGGTGGGTGAATCACCTGAGGTCAGGAGTTCAAGACCAGCCTGGCCATCATGGTGAAACCCCATCTTTAAAAAAAATAATAAAATAAAAATAGGGCCATCCAGCTCAAAGGTTAGTTTTAAGAGCATAGGAGTAAGCAAGTTAGTTAGGTAAACTACTCACATTCTTTTGTAATTGTGCCCTAATCTCTTTGGCTCCTGCAAAGAGACTCTGACTGCTTTCAGCCAACAACTATAGAAAAAACCCTGATACCTTCTAAAGAGGTTTGAGACTATTTCCTGTAACTTTCTTTGACATTTCTCTTATACTAATTTTTCCACCACCCTGAGTGAATTCCCACACTATGTCACTCTTTGCATTGTGCTCACCTGGGTCATTGCATACACAACTAATTTATAAATTTTTCACAAATGTATTTTGGTCAGTATGTTTTTGTTACACTTATATTTCTATAAAGAAATTAGGGCCTTTGGGCCAGGTGTGATGTCTCATGTCTGTAATCCCAGCACTTTGGAAAACAGGTGAGTGAATCAGGAAGTCAGGAGTTTGAAACCAGCATGGTCAACATGGTAAAATCCCATCTGGGCCGGATGCAGTGGCTCACATTTATAATCTCAGCACTTTGGGAGGCCAAGATGGGTGGACCATTAGGTCAAGAGATTGAGATCATTCCTGGTCAACATGGTGAAACCCCATCTCTACTAAAAATAGAAAAATTAGCTGGGCATGGTGGCACACATCTGTATCTTAGCTACTTAGGAGGCTAAGGTAGGAGAATTGCTTGAACCCAGGAGATGGAGTTTGCAGTGAGCCGAGATCTTGCCGTTGCACTTTAGCCTGGGTAACAAAAGGAAAACTCCATCTCAAAAAAAAAGAATCCCATCTGTACTAAAATTACAAAAATTATCTGGGTGTGATGGTGCATGCCTGTACTCCTAGCTACTCGAGACTGAGGCAGGAGAATTGCTTAAACCCAGGAGTCAGAGATCGCAGTGAGCTGAGATCACACTATGGCACTCCAGCCCCAGAAACAGGGCGCAAGACTCCATCTCAGAAACAAAAGAAAAAAGAAAAGAAATTAAGTCTTTGGTGTTTTTCTATACCATCTTGCTTATGTAATTTGTATAATTATATATATTGGATTTGTAAAGTATATTCATCTGAGTCTAACAAGTGGAGTAATTTGTTATTTTTTTTTTTCAGTTATTTGTTCTCATTTTGCCCAAGACTTTTCACAGAGCAGAACATAAAAGATTCTTTTCAAAAAGTGATACTGAAAAGATATGGAAAATGTGGACATGAGAATTTACAGTTAAGAAAATGTGGCAAAAGTGTGGATGAGTGCAAAGTGCAATCAGGAGGTTATAATGGACTTAATAAATGTTTGCCAACTACCCAGAGCAGAATATTTCAATGTGATGAATACATGAGATCATTTTGCATTTTTTCAAACCTAACTCAACATAAAATAATTTATTTGAGAGTAAATATCTACAAATGTGAAGACTGTGGAAAAGTTTTTAATGGATCCTCAATCTTTAGTAAACATAAAAGAATGTAAATTGAAAAGAAACCCTACAAATGTGAAATATGTGGCAAAGTCTTTAACCAGTTCTCAACACTTACTACACATAAGAGAATTCATACCAGAGAGAAACTCAACTAACATAAGGAATGAGGCAAAAATTTCAATCAGTCCTCACACCTTCCTAGACATAAGATAATTAATCCTGGAGAAAAATCCTACAAATGCGGAGACTGTGGCAAAGCCTTTAGGCAGTCCTCACAACTTACTACACATCAGACAATTCATACTGGAGAGAAACCATACAAATGTGAAGAATGTGGCAAAGCCTTTAACCAATCCTCAAAATTACTGAACATAAAATTATTCATACTGGAGAGCAACCCTACCAATGTGAAAAACGTGGCAAAGCCTTTAAACAATCCTCAATTCTTACTGAACATAAGAATATTTATACTGAAGAGAAACCATACAAATGTGAAGAATGTGGCAAAGCTTTTAACCAGTCCTCAATTTTTACTACACATAAGAAAATTCATACTTACTAAAATGAACTATCCTGACTCCATCTTAGAAATAAGCCTGACAGGCTCCAGCTTAGCTTCTCCCTCCCTGCCACAGCCCTCACAAATGCATTACTGAGTCATGCTGTGCTCAGAGCCTTGAACTGTTGAGGTTTGGGTCATGCTGTTCTCAATACCTGTAACCAATGTAACCACATCCTGCTTGGCAAGTCTACCTGCTGTTGTGAATACCCCTCTTGGTGATTGATTGTATGGAAAGTCCTCCCTGGTAGCCCCCTTGATGATTATATGGAAATGGTCTTAGTAACCAGCAACTATGGGAACCTCCTGCCTCCTGGTTCCCAGCCTCTTCCTACTAACTTGCTTGTTCTGCTTCTGTAGAATTCTGCTTCAACTAGGCTCCCCCTCCCGTATCCTAAGCTAGGTATGCAAAGAAATCAAGCCCCTTCCTCAGGGCAGAGAGATTTTTAAGTGTTAGCCACCTCTCAGATGCCGGGAAAAAAAGACTCTCAATCAGAACTCAGAAAGTAGCGCTTTCTCTAACTCGCTTGGTTACAACATTTGGCGAGATATTGCCACCAGGTGTGGGCTGGACTCACTCCGAGGTCCCCCAGATGCAGTGGTGAAGTATAGGGGAGGATCCCCTTGAGACGTTCCAGAGCCCCATAGGTCACCATTTTCCAGAGGAGATTGGATCGACCACTGACTCACCCCTCTAGCTTCTTTTCTGAGTCCTCTGTCCTCGTCCACGGAAAAGTAAGTTAGGCCTGGCTCTGTGTTTGGACCAGGGAGGGGCATTGGCCCTGACGAGGTCCACCTTTCAGGATTCTGTCAACACTCCAGAAAGCTGGAGGACAGAGTTCCCAATTCTGTGAGAAATTTCTGAGGGATAGGAAATTTCTCTGGGATCCTGACTGTTTGGAAAACTCTGCCCCTACCGCGAAAGCTCTCTCTCTCTTTCCCTCCCCTACCAAGAGGCTCCCTTATCTCTCACTTTACATACCGGCCCTAGCCCTACCGCTGCCCAGCTTCCCGCCGCCCAGCTTCCCGCCCAGCAGTTCAAACTGACCAACAGTTGCCCACCACCTCGGCTTGCGACTTCCCCACTCCCCCAGCCCTTCAGCCCCCTATAAAACAACCCTGCCCCTCTGAGCGGCGCGGCCATTTTCCTCTTCCTCCCAGCTGGTCCGCCCGGAGGCTCTTTCCTCTCAATAAAGCCTGAACTTAGGGAATTTCCTCTAACCTGTGGTCCGGTTTTTTCCGAACGAGCTCAGTCTTCCCGCAGAGGGTAGGTCGGACAACAACCATCTTCTTGCAACTTCCGACTGCCCTGCAGCCGGATGCCGAAGCGCCAAATGCTACAAGCACCGCTCCACTGCACCCGGCGGGCTGCTTTTCTACCCCTAGCCGTAGGCCTCTCCCTGGTAACCTCGGCACTTGCAGCTGGACTGGGAGGAGGAGCACTAACCCACTCTCACCTGGCTATAGCCCGGCTAACCTCACAATTCCAAACTGCTGTTGATGACTCTGCTGAGTCATTAGCATCACTCCAACGACAGATTACCTCAGTTGCCCAAGTTGCCTTGCAGAACCGAAGAGCCCTGGACCTGCTCACCACTGAATGAGGAGGGACCTGTATCTTCCTACAGGAAGAGTGCTGTTACTACATCAATGAATCCGGCCTAGTAGAAACCCGAATCGAGAGCCTCCAGAAACTCAAAACTAACCTGCAGAATCAAAAATTCTCGGCTGAAGCCACGGCGTGGTGGTCTTCCTCTACGTATACCCTCTTGTCCCCGCTGCTTGGGCCCCTAATAGCCGTTTGCCTAATCTTACTTATTGCTCCTTGCTTTCTACAGTTCATACAGCGGTGCTTTCAAGAACTAACTCGAGTCACCATCCACCAGATGCTGCTCCAACCCTACCCTGAATGAGTGCTAGAAGCGGACCTCTCTCCTTAAGAAAAGAAATCTCTTCAGAACCCCCGGTCGACCCTTGTCAGCAGGAAGTAGCCAGAGAGACAACCGACGCCCCTGACACCCTCTTTTCTTCTTTTCTTTTAAGGAGTCGGGAATGTTTAGAAAACTCTGCCCCTACCATGAAAGCTCTCTTTCCCTCCCCCATGAAGAGGCTCCCTCATCTCTCATTCTACATACCGCTCTAGCCTTCCCGCCCGGCCACAGCCACCTCCCGCCCAGCAACTGGTTGACCAATCACCGCCCGCCTCATTAGCTGTTCCCAGTTTCCTGCCGCCCGGCTTCCCCACCCAGCAGTTTAAACTGACCAACCGTTGCCCGCCACCTCAGCTCCCTCAGCTTCCCACTCCCTCAGCCCTTCAGCCCCCTATAAAAGAACCCTGCCCCTCTGAGCACGCACGGCCATTTTTCCTTTTTGTCCCGGCTGGCTCGTCCAGAGGCTCTTTCCTCTCAATAAAGCCTGAACTTAAGGATTTTCTCCTAACCTGCGGTCCGGTTTTTTCCAAACGAGCTCAGTCCTCCCGCAGGAGGTAGGTCGGACACTTACTTCTGCCTCTCCAACAGGTTCTTCGACACAGATTTCATTCCTTTTTATAGGATATATCAGAGCCCACTCTAACCTACCTGGAACCTTGGCCACTGGAAATTCTGCTGCTGATGCCCTAACTTAAAATATTTTTCCTGCCCTTTCTTTTATACAGCAGTCAGAGTCTTCCCATGATATACATCACCAAAACGCAAGGAGCCTCTGACTACAGTTTCACATTACTAGGGAACAGGCAAGACAAATTGTAAAACAATGCCCTGCCTGTGTTTCTTTTCTCCCACAGACCATTCATCTTGGAGTTAACCTGCGCGGTTTACACCCTGCCCATATCTACCAGATGGATGTTACACATTTTTTTCCTTTTGGTAAACTTAAAGTTATTCATGTTACCATTGATACTTTTTCCCACTTTCTTGTAGCTTCCGCCCACACCGGAGAAGCAGTTAAGGATGTTATTTCTCATTGTCTACTGGTATTTTCTATTATTGGTTCTCCTAAGATTTTAAAAACTGACAACGGTCCTGCTTATACCAATAAGAGTTTTCAGTCATTTTGTTCACAATTTCAAATCTCTCATCGTACAGGTATTCCTTACAACCCTCAAGGCCAGGGTATCATTGAACGCTCTCATGCTGTTCTCAAAAATCTGCTATCTAAACTGAAACATGATTCTAATACTGTGTCATTTTCCAAGTCTCCGCATGACTGTCTTTGTCATGCACTCTATGTATTAAACTTTCTCATTTAAGATGACAACAACTGCTCTGCTGCTGATTGTTTTTGGCATCCTGATCATAAGGCTCACCCCGAAGTTAACTGGAAAGATGCCCTTTCTAATCAGTGGCTCAGATCTAGTGCTCATATGGAGATGAGGACATCTGCTGGTTCACCTATTTGGGTTCCTGAACGCCTAGTGAAGCATGAATATAAACAACAGACGAGGTCCAAACTCCTTGATCCTGAGATTTCATCGGCTGCGCTGGTCATTCCCTAAAGCTTACTAAATGTTGCCTAAAAATGCCATTGATCACTTTGCCATTGGCAGTGGTGCGTGCCTGTAGTACCAGCTACTCGGGAGGCTGAGGTGGGAAGATACCTTGAGTCCAGGAGTTCTGGGCTGTAGTGCGCTATGCCAATCTAGTGTCTGGACTAAGTTCGGCATCAATATGGTGACCTCCCAGGAGCGTGGGACCACCAGGTTGCCTAAGGAGGGGTGAACCGGCCCAGGTCGAAAACGGAGCAGGTCAAAACTCCCGTGCTGATCAGTAGTGGGATCGCACCTGTGAATAGCCATGGCACTCTAGCCCAGGCAATGTAATGAGACCCAGCTCTAAAAAGAAAAGAAAAAGAAAAATGCCAGTGAGCACTTTTAACCATGTTACCTCTTTCCTCCCATTGATGTGGTCATGTTGTGGTCTCTTCTGTTATCAAGCTATTGCAGGTCAGAGGTGATTATTTCCTGTACAAGTGAGAACTCCTTCTTTTCCTCTTCCATGGAATCCTCCTGTTCTCCCTACTTGAAGCAACATATAGGAGGCAAATATAATGACAATGTACCAATATATTTCCTTCTATGTGTCCACTATAAGCAGATTACAACATGGCCCACCTGGAACTCACTTACTTCCAATGAGCATTTTCCTACAATGTATTTCTTTCTATTAAAAGTACCTCTGATATCCCAGCACTTTGGGAGGCCAAGGCAGGTAGATCACGAGGTCAAGAAATCGAGACAATACTGGTCAACATGGTGAAACCCCGTCTCTACTAAAAATATAAAAAATTAGCTGGGCATGGTGGCAGGTGCCTTAATCCCAGCTACTCAGGAGGCTGAGGCAGGAGAAATGTCTGAACCTAGAAGGCGGAGGTTGTGGTGAGCCAAGATCGTGCCATTGCACTCCAGTATGGGTAACAAGAGCGAAACTTAGTCTCAAAAAGAAAAAAAAGTAGTATAAATAAACAATGGAACACTATTTACCTGTTAAAGGTAGTAAATCTCATCATTTGAATAAACATAGATAAATTTAGAAGGCATTTTGCTACATAAAATTAGCCAAACCTAAATAGACAAGTACTTCATGATTTATTTATATTTAGAACCTAATAAAATTTAACTCAAAAAGCAGAACATAGAATAATAGTTATCAGAAGCCGAGGGTGGTGAAAAAGAAATAGAAAGCTGTTTATCAAAGGTTACAATATTTCAAATAGATAGGGTAAAAAGGTTTTAAGGTCTATTGAACAGCAGGATGACTATAGAAAACAATCATGTTTTGTATATTTCAAAATAACTAGGAGTAAATTTCAAATGTCTCACCACAAAAAATGGTAGGTAAGCAAGTTGTTAGAGGTTTTATTTAACTTGACTTGATTATTTAATATTGCATACAGTGCTCGCTACAGCAGCACATAGACTAAAATTGGAACGATACAGAGAAGATTAGCAATTTGAAATAAATTTTTAAAAATACTGTATACATATATTAAAACATCACATTTTCCACTATCAATGATTACAACTATAATTAGCCAATCAAAAATGCTATTAACACATTATTTTCAAAAAAAGAGAAGTAAACTTTAAGAAGTCAGGCCGGAGATAACAGTGTTTTTAATATTAACGTTTTAGAAAACATAAGTTTTTTTTTTAAAGACGGGGTTTCACCATGTTGGTCAGGCTGGTTTTGAACTTCTGACCTCAGGTGATCCACCTGCCTTGGCCTCCAAGGTGTTTGGATTACAGGCGTGAGCCACCACGCCTGGCCCATAAGTATTTTTTTAAATTTTGAATGGCTTGCTGACTGAGTAATGTAGATAAGAAAACTTTTAATATTATGAATAGTATGAACCCAGAACTCAGGAATAAATTTTATTTTAATGTTCAAAATAAAATAATAATTTAAAAGACAGACTCTTGATAGGTATGGTGGCTCATGCCTGTAATCTCAGCACTTCGGGAGGCTGAGACGAGCAGATCACCTGAGGTTGGGAGTTCAAGACCAGTCTGACTAACATGGAGAAAGCTTTACTCTACTAAAAATACAGACTTAGCTGGTTGTGGTGGTGCACGCCTGAAATCCTAGCTGCTTGGTAGACCAAGGCAGAAGAATCACTGGAACTTAAGAGGTGGAGGTTGCAGTGAGCTGAGAGCACCATGGCACTCCACCCTGGGCAACAAAAGTGAAACTATGTTTCATATATATATATATATATATATAGAGAGAGAGAGAGAGAGAGAGAGAGAGAATGAAATGAAATTAATCTAACTACCATTATAGCTCACACCTGGCTGTTGAGAATAAACATGGGAGGCTGGATGCGGTGGCTCAAACTTATATTCCCAAGCATTTTGGGAGGCAGAGGAGGGTGGATCATGAGAACAGGAGTTCAAGGCCAGCCTGGCCAAGATGATGAAATTTCTTTTCTACTAAAATTACAAAAATTAGCCAGGCATGGTGGCAGGCACTTGTAATCCCAGTTATGTGGGAAGTTGAGGCAGGAAAATCACTTGAACCTGGGAAGCGGAGGTTGCAATGAGCCCAGATCACACCACTGCTCTCCAGGCTGGGTGACAGAGAGTCCTTCTTGAATATAAAAAAAAAAAGAAGAAACTTGGGTTACAAATCACTGATGTGGTCACTTTTTTTTTTTTTCAGGCTGAGTGTTTATTATTATGATGTAACAGAATTACCAAAAATTAACAAGTTTTCTGTTTACTTGCTGTGTGCCTGGTGCACCTATGGCATCATTATCTGCCTAATGTTATTCCCATCCAATAGTACCAAATATTAAATGCCTTTAATAAAGAGATTCTTTAAACAGGCTTTGTGTGGGCAACAAGGCTGTTTTATTTCATGCTTGGGTGCAAGTGGGCCGAATACAAGAAGATAGGCAAAGGGAGTATGAGTGGGAATTGGTTTTATAGGTTGGGGCAATTTTTTGGGGGTGCAGAGGTGTTACAGAGTAAGATCAGTTACAGTGGTAGGGGAGGGGCAAGGAGGATACATTACCATAAGCTTAGTTACAATGACAGGTGGGGTAAGGCATAAGAATAGAAAAGATGGGGCTGGGCGCAGTGACTCACACCTGTAATCTCAGCACTTTGGGAGGCTGAGGTGGGTGAATCATGAGGTCAAGAATTTGAGACCACCCTGGCCAATATGGTGAAACCCTATCTTTAAAAAATACAAATAAAGAAGAGATGGCAGGATGGGGTGGAGGGATATTCACAGAGCAAGAACAGTTAAAATGGCAGGGTGGGATGAGGAGTATTCACATTTTTTTTCTCTTTTGGCTCCATGCTTCTAGAATACATTATCATAAAAACAGTTAAGATGGCAGGGTGGGGAGAGAAGCTCAATGTCCGGGAAAGGGGGAAGCTCAGCTGGGTGATAAGAAATAATGGCAAAAGCACACAGTGTGAGGGGTGATCGGCTGAGATAGGCAGGACTTAAGACTTTCTTTTTGTTGTTATTGTTGTTTTAAATATGAAGTTTCACCATATGTCAGGCCGGTCTCGAACTTCTGACCTTAGGTGATCCACCCACCGCAGCCTCCCAAAGTGCTGGGATTACAGGCGGGAGTCACCAAACCCACAGGGCTTAAGACTTCTGGGTCCAGTTTTGCACATGGAGGCCTGACACTTAAATAAAAACTCAAATAAACTTAAGGTAAAAAAGGGGAAACAGATATTCTATGTACATGCAAACCAAAATTAAGGAGTAGCTGTTCTGATAGTAGACAAAACAGACTTTTTTTTTTTATTGAGACAGAGTCTCGCTCTGTCGCCAGGCACCAGGCTGGAGTACAGTGGCACAATCTCGGCTCACTGAAACCTCCACCTCCCGGGTTCAAGGAATTCTCCTGCATCAGCCAGGACTACAAGTGCACATTATCATGCCCAGCTAATTTTTCTATTTTTAGTAGAGACAGGGTTTCACCATGTTGGCCAGGATGGTCTTGATCTTTTGACCTGGTGATCTACCTGCCTCAGCCTCCCAACATGCTGGGATTACAGGCTTGAGCCACCGCACCCAGCCACAAAACAGATTTTAAATTAAAAATAACAAAAAAAACAAGGAATAGCATTATATAATAATAAGAGAACTAGTCCAACCGGAAAACATCACAATTCTACATACATATGCACCTAATATGGGCGCTCCCAAATTTATAAAATAATTTATTCTAGACCTAAGAAATGACATAGAAAGCAAGGCAATAAGCAGCTGGACATGGTGGTTCACACCTGTAATTCCAGCACTTTGGGAGGCCGAGGTGGGTAGATCACAACGTCAGGAGGTAGAGACCATCCTGGCTAACACTGTGAAACCCCATCTCTACTAAAAATACAAAAAATTAGAAAGGCATGGTGGCACCTGCCTGTAGTCCCAGCCACTCGGGAGGCTGAGGCAGGATAATTGTTTGAAGGTTGCAGTAAACTGAGATTGCAGCACTGCACTCCAGCCTGAATAACAGAGTGAGACTCCATGGAAGGAAGGAAGAAAAAAAGGAAGAAAGTAAGGAAGGAAAAAATAAGGAAGGGGGAGGGAAGGAAGGAAGGAAGGAAGGAAAAAAGACAGGAAGGAGGGAGGGAGAAAGGGAGGGAGAAAAGGAAGGAAGGAAGAAAAAAGAAAGGAAGGAGGGAGGAAGGGAAAGAAGGAAGGAAAAAAGGAAGGAAGGAAAAAGGGAGGGAGGGAAGGAAGGAAGAAAGGACAAAGAATGAAGAAAGGATAATAATTGTGGGGTACTTGAATACCCTGTTGACAATACTAGAATGGTCATCTAGACAAAAAGTCAACGAAGATACAAGGAATTTAAATTATGGCCTAGAAAAAATGAACTTAACAGATATTTACAGAACATTTTACCCAACAACTGAAGATTATACATTCTATTTATCAGCTCATAAAATGTTTTCCAAAAGAGACTGTATATACATTACAAAATAAGTCTCACCAAATTTGAGAAAATGAAAATTATATCAAACACTCTTTGTGACCACATTAGAATAAAATTAGAAATCAATTCCAAAATGAATTATCAAAATTGTGCAAATGTATGCAAATTAAATAACCTGGTCTTGAATGATTGTTGCATCAACAATGAAATTAAGATAAAAATTTAACATTTTTAAAAAACTAAACAATAGTAGTTTTAAGGGTCTCCAAGAGAAAGTAGAATAGACAAAAAGTCAGGCAAAAAATTTTATTAACCTGCCGAGCTGCTCCCCAAAAGTCAGAGAAGGCAGCCCTGAGCTTACAAAACCGGACTTATATAAAGTGAGAGGGGCATAATTTATTCACAGGCACAGAGAGAGTTTGTTAACTTGTAACAGACCTGCAATATATCATTCTGTGACTTTTGCAGCAGCAGCCTTTAAAAAAAGACAGAAGCCAGGATTGTTTACAGATATGTGTCAAACAGGAATTTACAAGTATGGATAACCAACATATGCTTTCCCTGTCCTCCCTCGAGCTGCCTGGATGGCTATAATCAGGCTTTGCTTAATTGCCACATATCTGGCAGCCTTGGTGTGGTGCCTAGATAGGGGTTCAGGAATGCAGCTGTGGAGCAATTAGAGGGGGGAAAGGGGTCAGCCCGCAAGGAGGGGGTTTTCTGAGGAAGAACAGCTCGTCCCTAACAGTAGTGACACAACCTATCAAAACCTCTGGAATACAGCATTAAATACCTACAGCAAAAAGTCTGAAAAGGCACAAATAAAAAATCTAGGCCAGGTGCAGTGTCTCATGCCTGTAATTGCAGCACTTTGGGAAGCCGAGGCGGGTGAATCACAAGGTCAGGAGTTCAATACCAGCCTGGACAAGATGGTGAAACCCTGTCTGTACTAAAAATACAAAAATTAGCTGGGCGTGGTGGTGAGTACCTGTAATCCCAGCTACTCGAAAGGCTGAGGCAGAGAATTGCTCAAAACTAGTAGGAAAAAAATTAATTAATTAATTAAAGAATCTGGAAGGTGGAGTTTACAGTGAGCTGAGATCATATCACTCACTCTAGCCGGCACAACACAGCGAGACACCATCTCAAAAAAAAAAAAAAAAAAATCAGATTTTACCTAGCACCTCAGAGAACTAGAGAAACAAGAAGAAACCAAACCCAAACCCAACAAAAGAAAAAAAACATGACAATAATCATTTTGCTTAAAGCAATAGGAAGAAACAGAAAGACAATAATCAGAGAATAAGTAATATTTTTTTTTAAAATAACACAAAAGACGAATGAAACAGAAAGCTGGTTTTCTAAAAAGAAAACCAAAATTGATAGATCATAAGTGAGATTAACCAAGAAAAAACAAAACCTAAATAAGCTGGATTAGAAACAAAACAGTACTACAGAAATGCAAAAGATCATTTACTGCTACTATGAACACTTTTTTTTTTTTTTTTTGAGACGGAGTTTCGCTCTTGTTACCCAGGCTGGAGTGCAGTGGCGCGATCTCAGCTCACCGCAACCTCCGCCTCCTGGGTTCAGGCAATTCTTTTGCCTCAGCCTCCGGAGTAGCTGGGATTACAGGCACATGCCACTATGCCCGGCTAATTTTTTGTATTTTTTTTTAGTAGAGATGGGGTTTCACCATGTTGACCAGGATGGTCTCAATCTCTTGACCTTGTGATCCACCCACCTCGGCCTCCCCATGTGCTGGGATTACAGGCTTGAGCCACCGCACCCGGCCAACTATGAACACTTTTACATGCACCAACTAGAAAACCTAGAGGAGATGGATAAATTCTTGGAAATGTACAACCCTCATTGATTAAACCAGAAAGAAACAGAAATTCTGCATAGACAAATAAGAAGTTGTGAATTGAAACAGTAATAAAAACATTGAAAAATAAAAAGTACAGGACCAGATTAATTCACAAGGGAAACTATTTCAAAAATAGAAAAATAGGGACTCTTTTCTAAGTCATTCTACGAAGCCAATTATCACTCTAATACGAAAACCAGGAAAGAACATAGCACAAAACAAAACTACACACTATTTCTGATGAACGTAGGACAAAACAAAATTTTTCTTTTTATTTTAGACGGAGTTTCACTCATGTTGCCCAGGCTGGAGGGCAATGGCCTGATGTCGTTTCCCCTCAACCTCCACTTTCCAGATTCAAACGATTCTCCTGCTTCAACTTCTAGAGTAGCTGGGATTACAGGCATGAGCCACCACGCCCAGTTGTTTTATTTATTTATTTTATTTTTGACGCGGACTCTGGCTGTGTCTATAGGCTGGACTGCAGTGGTGCGATCTCAGCTCACTGCAACTTCCGCCTCCTGGGGCAATTCTCCTGCCTCAACCTCCCGAGTAGCTGGGACTACAGGCTCGAGCCGCCACGCCCGGCTAATTTTTTGTATTTTAATACAGACGGGGTTTCACTGTGTTGCCCAGGCTGGTCTCGAATTCCTGAGCTCAGGCAATCCGCCCGCTTCGGCCTCGCAAGTTGCTGGGATTACAGGCGTGAGCAACCGGGCCCTGCCAATTTTCATTGTATTTTTATTAGAGGCGGAGTTTCTCCCTGTTGGTCAGCCTGGTCTCAAACTCTCAACATCAGGTGATACGCCCCCCTCGACCTCCCAAAGTGCTGGAATTACAGGCATGAGCAAGAAGGCCCACCAAAAATCTTTTTCTTTTTCCTTTTTTTTTGAGACAGAGGTTTGCTCTTGTTGCCTAAGCTGGAGTGTACTAGCACAATCTTAGCTCACCACAGCCTCTGCTTCCCAGGTTCAAGTAATTCTCCTGCCTCAGCCTCCCTAGTATCAGGGATTACAGGTATGCATCACCATGCCCAGCTAATTTATTTATTTATT